ATGCGGCCAATGTTCTGGAGAATGCGCTGGTCACAATGAGCCACGAGGCTCGGGAACGGGCATTCGCGCAGGTGGATGAGTTGTTGGCCGAGTACTCGCAGTGGCCGTTCGGCCGGAGGGCAGGTGGCTCGCAAGCCATCGGAGCCAACCTGGCGCAGGCCATCAATGACGAGGTGAACAAGGCTAAGGACAAAGAGCTCCAGTTGGAGGTACGTACTGCCGCTCAACGACCTCAAACCGCTCCGATAGCTGACTTCCTTGACACAGATTGTGGCAGCATGTTTGAGCGTTTTCACTAGACTTGATTCACTACTGTAGCAAGCTTTTCTTATTCTCATCTCCCGTCCTCTTCTGCTATCGCCTCCCCCTCCCCCCTAAGCTCTATTTCATTTCCATTATCGTCTACTATTATCAACTTCATCGTCTTCCTCTCTCCGAGAACGAGAAAAGCACACCACCATTGCCTCCGCTTTAGGGACCTTGGCCATCTTTCTTCCTTACCTTCTTATTCACAATTTTGGCAGTACTATTACCGGCGTCCCGGGGTTGGATCTGTCGCAGAGTGATATGACCTTTTGTGTTGAACCTACCGTGCTGCGAAGCGGTGACTGAACCCAATGGCATTGAACCGTGTTTTGTACGAGATACTTCTTTACTGATTCGATTCCTTCATTGAAAATGATTCTTCTTTTCATCACGTACGATGGTCGAACAATCGAGTCCCATGAAATCTTTTTCTTTCTGTTTCAGCGCCATTGTTTTTCTTTTCAACTTCCTCCCCGTTGGTGACACAGCCTCGGCTCCGCTAGATTGACATTTGATCTTCCCACGGGATAGGTAGCGGGATCATGTGCAGTTTCGAATCCAACGAGTCTTTCCTGTGCGTAGGTACCGCACCGCACCACACCGCACCGTACCGCATGCTTGCGCAGCAGAGCACTTTGATGTATGTACTCTACTGTACAACGATACAGGGTGTACCTAGTCTTTGACACCCGCTCGGTGCCTGTTGACTTCGCACAAAGTCAAAGCGCAAGGATTATCTTTGTAAAGGTACTAATCTTGTATCAACCCGCCCGTGCCTTCCAATGCCAGCATTCGTTTCCCCCATTGCGAAACATGAGATGTACTTGGGTAGGTACCTTAGATTTGTGCGAGGTACTGGGGTCAACCATTGCATGAGTTTCCTAAGTTATTTGTTCCTACCAAGTGAGGCGAGCGGTCAAGTCCAATCGGTGATCGCGACGTAAACACCCGACTCTAAAGCTTTCTCATGGCTATGTAGTGCTATAATACAGATGGACAACCTCCAAGCCAAGAAAGGAGAAATGAAATTAAGGCTGCAACGAAGGAAGTAAAAATACAAGGCTAATCAAACGAGATGAAGGATTCAAAATCAGTTGACATGAATGACCATCATGCCGCCTCGTCGTCCACCGCCGGCGCCGGCCGCTCCCGAAGCCAGCATGTCGGCTCCTCTTTCAATATCGTGGATGCTTTCCACGCGGCCTCGGATCACATCACTCTCCACTAGCTGGGCGATGCGCGCCAGCGCCTCTCCATCCGGCCGCACCGCAACGAAGCGGCTGAGGACCCCGTTCTGGGGCGGTTCGGCGTTTCCATCGGAATCCCGGTTCTGCGCAGGTGTGGAGTCCACAGCAGTCACTACGACACCATTGGACTTGACCACGCGTGGAGAGTGGGCTTGTTGGAACATTTGGCGGCCGGCACAATCGATGACGAGGTCGACCGGGGCCCAGCGATTCTGGCGGAAGATGGCCCCTAGGTCATAATCTTGGGGTAAAGGGAGAGGAGCATAGAGGATTTCGTCGATCTCATGCTCTTGTCGCAAGTAGTCATCCTGATCTTCGGCATCACACGTTGCACAGACCCAAGGTAGTTGGTTTGGGAACAGTGACCGGGACCGGAGTAGCTGCAGTGCCTGGGCACCAACTTCGCTATTCCGCGAATTCGTAACCAGAACCCGTAATTGTCGTTTCATTCCCTTGACATCCTCGGGAACAAACCCGGCGTACGTGAAGAGAGACTGCCAAGCTGTGAGTGCCGGCAGAGGGATTGCGGCTGCCTCCGCAGCACTGATATTGTTGGGTTTCAGCGCGATCTCATCCTCTGAAGCGACGACGTAATCTGCCGCGGCACCATCACGGGTGTAGTTGACCAGGCCAAACACGACGTCGCCGACCTTGAATTTCGGACCGCCTGGATTCCGGTGGTCATGCTTGGGCGTATCAACAACTGTACCACAGAAGCAATGTAGAGGAATCTGAGGAATGGATTTAGACGGGTTCAAGATGGTAGCTAGGCGTAGTTCATCGTGGCAGAAAGCTGCGGTTTTAACCTTGATAAGGTATTCATTTCCAGATGGCATTGGCGTCTGGAATCCCGAATCGAACTCGACGCAAGAGTCCACCCTTGGCGCATCTAGAGAGGTGAGGTCGGTGATAGCTGTTGACGCTGGTCGATAGTATAGAGCTCTCATCGTAGATGGCACGGTCGTTTGCTCATCCATTGTGGTCGATTTGCGGCTCTCTGGCTCAACTGTAACAGCCGGGTTGCAAAGTTATGATGTGATGCAGCGGCGAAATATGCTCGATAAGGCCAAGGCAAGCAGTCAGCCAACAGGATATAAGAGATTGAGGAGCAACACTGTTCCGTGGATTCACCGAATAACTAGGCGTAGATCAAGCAGGGTTTGTTCCGGTCGCAGATTTTAAGGATGGACCGCTGCAGCCACAAGCGACGTTTGGGTGACATCCTACCATTGACGTAACCCCGAGTATAAACACGCTTATATCAGCAACCTTTTGTGATGAGTCAACATCGATTTCGAATTTCATTCGACGTCACTGATCTGCTCGATCAATCAACATCGGCTGAGATTTCCTCGAGAGGCCTGCGCATTCTGTGGCTTGTTCCCAGCTCATCCACAAGGTGCTCTACCTCCGCAGGATTTTCGAAAACCTTCCATTTATGGTCGGGCACACCGTCAAATGCAGCTTTAAATCTCTTCGGCGAATTCTGCTCGTCCAAATGAGGGACATCGGTGACCTTTCTTATCCAGATTGCCTGAATCCAATCCGGATGTCTCTTGTAGAGTTCAGCATAGGCCTCTGGATCCTTCTGAGTCGAGTCGCCTATGCAAAGCACCTTTCGTCGCGGGAACCAGCCATGAATCTTCTCTGCACGGTCCACCTTGTATTCCATAGTGTTGACAGTGAACGATTTAACCAGCTCGCTCACATCTAGCCAGGATGTATCGCGGAGGATCAGGGTTCCCGGGTTGAAATAGGTGTGAATGAAGCCGTGCAAGAACGGATACAGGTTGTGTGGAGAAGCAGAAAGGTAAAACCATGTAGGCGCAAGGTCTTGTTGGAGCTTGGCATAAAGCTGAGGCATTCCAACGATCGGCTTGGGTTCTTCCACGAAAGTTGTGCGAAGTATACCGGTTGACTCGGAGGTCTTGGTGTACTTGATGGTATCGTCAATGTCGGAAATGACAAGCCAACCCTCCGCGCTGGCGTACGTTGTGCTCATCGTCACCTCGCTTGCCCAGCCGCGAAGGTACGAGCGTAGTTTCGCCCCGTCTGTAATGTGGCGACTGGTTACCCCCACTGTTTGGCTGATAATGCCACTATCATCCGTAGGCCCAATCTGATGAATTTGAGTCGCATTGTTGGGCAAGGGTGTTTCCAACATTATCAGGTGCGCAGGTGTTGTGTGATGTAGAAATGGCTGAAGTCGCTCCGCTATTCGATGACGAGTCTCTTTTTCTGTGCCAATTTCTCCGTCCAGTCCGATGAGATCTGCAACCATGGCCACGAGTTTACTGAGGTCCTTCCTGCTGTCTCTCTGAAACACACAAGCAACAATTTCTGCCCGCCAAAGGTTGAGCTCGGTTGAACGAGACATCGGTGCCTGGTATGCTGTGTTGTCGAACAGCCAGACGGTATGTTCGCGTTCATTTGCCATCTGTATTGTAGGCGAAGGCTTCGCCAGAAAGGATATCAAGAATTGCAACATGGCTGAGTCCCGTTTCCATGTATGAGCCACCTTGGCGACTCGCTGAAGTACTGAAGAGGGTTTGGAGTGTGAGTCGGAGCCCATCTTGGATGCGAGGTGACTCTTGAGGATTAACTTGGAGTAAGAGATGGTCTGCAGCAGTGTAGGTTGTACTCCCAAGCACGAATACTCTGCAATAACTGCAAAGTATCACTCAGGACAGTGTCCTCATATATAGGGCCTGAGAGCGCGCCTGATCTGGCAGACTAGATGGGTCATATCCCGAACCACAAGGCAGTGAAGCCCTTGGTCAAGTCAAGTAAGCTAACCTGAGTCATTCTCTGGTCAGTCAGTCAGAAGAGTAGGCCATAAGGCTGAATGTATCTTGTGGGGTTCCTGGTCGCGAGAACCACACATGTCGAAAGGCGCTTCACCTGCATTGATACAAATAAATTGCCGCTTGGCGCCCGAGTCAGCCTGCAAGGGCTCGTGACCCTATCAGAGCTCGAGGCACAGCGGCTGACCGCTGGCGATCTTCTCTTGCGTACCAATGAACCGGCCATTTGCCCTAGTCAGATGCAGGGAATGTGCAGGAACTGGGGTAGAGGACAATCATGGTCACTGGGCATGTAAGGGGATGCCGGCCCCGTTGGAGGTCGGATCGTATCACTTCCTCCAAGAATAGATTCCATAAGTCATCGTAAGCGCTCTTTTGCGTCTCCGCTGCGTTATAGAGTATTGGAATAATCGCCACCATGCATGCCTGCGAACCACAGATGCGGTGGACGTTGCCTTCCATGACAGTTCGTTGCCTTATGAGTCGTTCATTGCAGGGTTGCAGTCACACAGTAAGGTGCGGAATAGCGGGGATGCAGTCTCCGCCTGAAACATTTTGAGGCGGTGCTTTCGCGCGCAGCCCGCCAAGTGAGAATAAGAGTCCGTTCAGTTGAGGAGGAATAAAGTCGGAGAGAAAAGAAGATGATGCGGAGGGAGGAAAAGAAAGTACAATGTATTGTACGTACAGTAAGCCTTCAGGTTCTCAGGGACGCGGCGCGGTTCGGGTCAGTGGGGTTACCGGTTTGGGTAATCAGATTTGGGCTCCCCTTCCCTTCTTGGGAGCAAGACTTTGCACCCATAAAGTCGGCAGCCTCATCTCGCATCTATGAATACAACTCGTATCGAATGGGTCAATGGCTAAGTATGTTTGTTTATACTTTCTTCTTAACATCACGGAACGATCAAGCTTGTTACTGGTGTGTTGACAAGCATAATCTAGGTTGTACACGATCACGTGCCCGTCTATTCTCTGCCGCGTCTCCAGATCAATATTGCAATTCACAACCTTGTAGCATGTTGATGATATGCTCATAGCATACTCTAGATCGAAGACTAGCAATTGCCGCCATGTCATATCAAACCCTGTTCCAGAGTACATACAACGCGCGTCTTGAACGCGTCTATACACGAAAAAAGGTCTCCGATGAGCCCCAACCGTCCAAGCGGAAAAAGGCATCATCTTATGCGAAACTCTTTGATCGCATGCCGATACCAAAACCAAGAAGAATCCACGAGGTTGTTGACCGGAGTAGTGGTCAGGTGTACCTGGAGTCTTCCAAAGAGCCTTCCTTGGCCTCTTCGAAGGGTGCGTCTTGGGTCCATGAGACGCCTTTCCTGCCTGAAAGATGGGGCAAACAAGCCATTGCGCGTGGTGCACCTTCGTTGAGGCATGCGGCAACGAGACAAGCTCTGTCGGACCAAAGAAATCTTCGACCCGAGCTGTTTGCCGCCGTGCCATGGCGGCTCGCACAGTCTTTGTGGGATATACTTGGGCAGTGGTATGAGGTGGTGCCCATCCTCCCTGAACAGTTACAAGATCCTAATTCTCTCGCGCTCAAAGCAACAAACAGACTACATATGCCTGGAAACTATTTGCAACGGCATATCCCGAGGAGTTCCGTAAGATTGCTGCGGACCGTGTCATGAAGGTCGAGAGTCCCCTCATGCCAATGCAGGATTACCTGAGCCTGGTCAAAAGTGACTCGTTGAACTGGGGAGCGATCTTGACTCTGGCTGCCACATATGCTCGAATTCCTGACCTCGTAGGCTTGGCCAACATCCCAAATCTTATTGCGCTGGAGATTGCCACACCACTGCAGTACGAAGGCGTTGAGGACGAGAGCGATGCGCCTATGGTTGATCTCAATGATCGAGTTGTGCGGTCGTGGAGCGAGTTGGCACAGAACTCCGCGGGATTCGCAAACCTGAGGGTCCTGATGTTGCAATTTCAGTCCAACATCTCGTCTGTCGCACTAAGTTACCTCTGTGACTTACCGGCATTGCAGCTCCTGGTGCTGAATGGGTGTCGTGCCATTCCAGCCGGCGCTGCGGCCGGGTTTGAGTTAGAGGGCTGGGCTGTGGTGGATATGGGTGAGGTGCCAAAATCTTTGCAAAGCATCTACCAGAACACGCTGCAGATCGATGGGGCAGAGAAGCCGACCTTCCCGATTGATACCCCTACCTTCTCTCTTCAAATTGGACAGAAAACTCTCAAAAGCTTACGCGCGACCTCGAAACAAAAGCATCGTGCCGTTAGCTATAATCCCATTTGTCTTCGTCGCAGCAAGAATTATGTCGAACCGCCAGTGAAGAAACAAAGAACCACTTCGGATCAAAGACCCGCAGGCCCAAAACGGGCAGTAATGAAAGAGCGCAAGCTGAAAGATCTTGGGGGTCTGCTGCAGGACTTTCTCTAGCTGGAGTGGATACGCGTGATGGATGATGGATGATGTCACTTGCAGGAGACAGGCGCATGAGAGCTCTCTGGCCCGTACCTGTACGGATGCAAGCGCGCGGGTGCCTGGTGATCGTGCAGATGACCTGCGTGTATTGTCTTTGACTTCCAAGGCTCCATCTGCTCGTCGTTCTTCTGTGAGCGTTATATCCATGGAAGTATTAATACGGAACGCATAGGGGTGTTCTGGATGCCCCAGGCCTCCCTGAGTACAATGACGCTGGCATGACCAGTGGGAAGACGCTGATTGGCTGACAGCCGCCGCCTCTCCCCGCGCTACTCCCGACCGGTTCAAGTTGACGCCAGTTGTTCCCCGCCTTGTGATTGTGACTCGATTCAATGACTCCATCTTCCCCAGTCCTCGTTTTCTTTTCTTTTCTGACTGTGTGTCTTGGCTTATCGCCGTGGACAGGCTACCTTGATACTTGACCTCTGATTCGCTTTCTCTGTTGGTGTCTCCAGCAGGAGTACTGTACCTACTGCACCTACTGCACCTACTGCAACCTCACCCGAAACTCGGGCATCGCCTGCCTCCGAACTCCCTTTACTGGCTTACCCCTCTTCGACCACACCCCACGATGACCGACTACCCTATCGATGCGGCGGTGGAGAATGATTCCAGTGGATCAAATATTGCATCACCTCGCTCCAGCACAGATTCCCGGACTGCTTCTGTGGGCAACCGATCTCTCCGACTTTCATCTCACGCACCCGGTCACCAGCACCGCCAAAGCATGAGCGAAAGCCTTCGCGGAACTCCTGGATCTCCAAGGGCTCGACGACAACCGTCGCTCACCCAGTCCGCCATCCAGAGCCTCATTGATAATCCTCCGGCTCCAAACAATGTCAACTCTGCATTTGCCGGTCGCGACTGGCGGGAAATTCAGATTGGCGAGCTCGTCAGTCCGAACGATTTGAAATTCGTGGAGCTCGATACCGGGATTGAAGAAGCGACGAATGTAAGCGACCAGGAAAAATTTCTATAGTGTTTCTTTCTTCTTTCTTTTCTTCCTGCTTGTTTCTTCTTCTCAAGGTTTTTTTTTCTTTTTCTTATCAGAAAGACTGACAACAATAGATCTTGATCGATACCGCAGCTCCGGTACTCTTGATCCGAGAAACGCCTGACCAGAAGTCTGCCGTGGGCACGTTCGACTACTCCGACCTCAATGCATACCTTCTGTTGGCAGCAGGACTGACGCAACCCGATGAAACGTTATTGGCATCGTACGAAGAACTAGCTCGAAAGGCGAAACAAGGCATCAAGATTCCGCTGAAGGATGTCAAGGATCTTGGCAGGAAGGAGCCGCTGACAACGCTTCCTGCATCAGCCAACGTGATGACGGCCGTGCAGACTTTCGGAGGAGGCGTACACCGCGTTGTGGTAGTCGATGAACAGAAGGACAAGGAAGTGGTGGGCATCTTCAGTCAGTACCGGCTGGTCAAGTTTCTCTGGGAGAACGGACGTAGCTTCCCGGTGATTGATCAGCTGTATCCCCAATCCTTGCATGAGCTGGGAATTGGTTCGCGCGAGGTCATCTCAATCAAGTATGTTCCATTTTCAGATGCGAGTGCTGCGTACTGACGCCTTCGTTGCAGTGGGGACCGGCCGCTCTGCGAAGCCCTCCAGGTCATGAATGACGAGGGGGTTTCATCAATCGCCGTGGTGGACAACCATTTCAATGTGGTGGGCAACATCTCAACAACCGATGTTAAGGTATGTTCCACTGTACTTGCATAGCACAGGCGTCACTGACGTCGATAGCTACTCACCCGGTCGTCCTCACTCCCACTACTGCGCAACACCTGCACGCATTTCATCTCCGTGATTCTGTCTACACGTGGCCTGGAAGAGGGCAAGGACTCGTTCCCAGTGTTCCATGTAAACCCGACTTCGACTCTAGCACATACCGTGGCCAAGGTGGTTGCGACCAAGTCTCACCGGTAAGCCTAGTAGTATCTGCTCCAGATAGTGCCCAGCCTGACAGTGAATCATAATCCAGCCTGTGGGTCACCGACCCCCTGTCGCCCGCCTCGTCAGGGCCTCCGACCCCATCCCATTCTTCCGTGCACATCCCTCTACCGACGACTACGCAATCTCCGCCGCAGACCCCCGCGATCGGCAGCAATCCGAGCCTACAGGCCCCGAATTTCAGCTCTGCGCACCTGCCCAGCCCGCCCCAGTCTTTCCTCGGCGCGACAACCATGGTGCCATCGATCCCTGCGTCCGCTCTGCCGGGGGCGCGGCTCTCGGGACGCCTGGTGGGGGTGGTGAGTCTGACGGATATTCTGAACCTGCAGGCCCGGGCGAGCGGGCTAAGTCCGGCCGATCCCGCGGAGAGTCGGAGTCGACGTCGCCGGAGCAGCAGCTCGAGTGTAAGTGTGCGACGCAGTGGGGAGATTGGGCGGGAGTTGTTCAGTGGGCGGATTGTATAGGTGAGGATGACGGGAGGCAGATGCAACCAAGACAGACCTTGGCTTCACTTCATCATTTGTTTTTCAATCAGCTTAATCCTTATCAAGTGACAATACATACATGGATACCATCCACATATCCACATACATGACTGAGTCAGACCTGCCTCTGTTGGACGCATGTAGCCAATAACACGTGACCAATCCCCTCGCTCCTTACCCTAAGACATCGAGGTCGCCAAATTCGCCCCCCCCCCCCCCTCACAGCATCAGGCCATCCATAAACACACCTGCAGTACCTAGCTAGCTAGAATCTGTCAGAAAACGCCGACGAACCTCCGAAAGAGTACACCCTGGAACCGGGGAGGGAAGAGGTGTGGGGGGGGGGGAGCGGCAACCAGAAGTACTGCCCGAATCCTCCCATCCCTTCACCCTCGGCAATCCAACAGTAGTCAAACAAACAACAAGAATTAGCAAGGACAAAAGGTTTCAATGTGATGGCAAATAGAATAGACTCCATTCCCTAAAGCACCCTGGCACCTTAGCATAGCCCCTTTCGCCCCTTAGTGATCTTAGTATCAAGCGTATGTGCGTGGCAGCTGAATCGGCGATCGATCCACTACGGCCCGCCCAAAACAATCAGTCAGCTGTATCGGCCATCCCCGAGCGAAACTTTGTTGGGATAGGCAAGCGAGTGAGCTCTTCGACCTCTCATAAATTGGGCCAATTTGAGCGAGCGAGCAAGCGAGAGAGGTTCTGCGTCTCTGAGAAGGTGATTGATAGAGTTTTAGGGTTATCCGTGGGAAAGGAAACACTTTTTACTTTTGGTACAGTAAGTACTAACTAACTCGGTAGTTCGCCTCTGGATTCCTCGGTAGGTAGTTTGGGGGGTTCCTAAAGGGATGGGCTGGTTTGGGGTTGGTTCGGGGTTTGGGCGGGAGACAGAGACAGAGAAAGTGGTTAGTTAGGTAGAGGTTCGTGTGTACAATTACTTTCCAGCACTTAAGGGAGGCGAGGTCATGGGATCATTTAGGTGTTGCTCGGGGGATTGGGGAAAAAGAGGTTCAGAAGCGAGGGGGTTGTATACGAGCTATGATGGATAGCAGGTCGGTCGATAGGTTGACGAAGAAGGGATTGTTCGGGGATGCGAGCGAGCAAGCGAGCAAGAGGAAGCGAAGCGAGCGGAGGCAGTATGGGCGATGTATGCCTGTATGCTTGGGGTGCCTCTAGACCATCAATGCGTGCAATCACCCGACTCTGCAGACGAGGCAGACGCAGTGGAAGATAATTCCCCAGGCCGCTTGGGCTCGAACACCAAGTCCGATCCTCCCAGACTAGAGTTTTAGACTGACTGACTGACTACTACGTACTTCGTACTGTCGTTGGATCCAGAATCGATCGCTAAGTCTGACAAACCCTAAATCCCGAATGCTCAGCCAGCTCGTAGCGAATCATCGAGCTATGAATCAGAAACCAGATGCATTTCAAATCCATCCCTCCCTGTTCCAAATGTCCCTCAAACTCAGTTTTCAATTGTAGTTCTCTCAACCAACATCAACCAACCATCGCTGCGATTGTAGGACGTCTGGCTAGAACCCCGCTGCCAACTGATCAACTGGACCTGGAAACCTGCAGCCCGACCCGCTTGCGTGCATTAGCCCTGATCTTAGTGACCATGTAAGATAAGTCGGTAACGCCGATACCCAACCCTGTATTTAGTAACCACTGCAGCACAGACCAGAACCCAAAATAATTTAACGATCCACCCCGATGGATCCAATCAAAATCGATTATCAGGTATTAGAGTTGAGAACCACCATATTCCAACCACCCCACACAAGCTTGGGGGTATAGGCAGCGGGCAGCGGGCAGCGGGCAGCGGGCACTGGCCAGCCCCGCCCTGATCATCTTGAAGACTTCTTCGACCAGCTGGTTCTACAGTCCATTTGCATGTTGAGTACGAGAGACACATTCCTCCAATCCTTGCCATTCTATAGTGCGAATATAGGTACAGTACATGGATATACTACACCGTCCAAGATTGGACTAGCAATAATCTAGCCCGCAGTATCAGACCAGACCATACTGACCATCACACATCCCAACAGCACACCACACCACACCACACCACACCGCACCACACCAGCCCATAGTACTGTACCCACTGTCCTTGCTTACGGTATGGATATAGTCCACAAGCAGAGAGTGAAAACTCCCCCCAAGAAATAAGCACTCTATCCCCGATAACCTCGCATTGCAGACAGAAAGCTTAGTTTTCCCCCTTCAAAATCTAGATTCTTCGGTGCATGCATGCATGCATGCCATTGAATATCCCAGATACCTACCTACCTACTTGGCTGGCTGTGACTATCGACTGCAACTTAAATCCCCAACCGAAGGCTCCACCTCGAACCAGAAGAGCTCCAGTGATTGTGAAGCAGCAGCAAGAAGAATTTTCATCAAAGTCCCGCAATATGCCACCATGACATAGGATGCATGCAAAGAACAATGTCGAAGTGAGGGAGGGAACGAAGGTGAAAAGAGATTTGACTCCAGGTCTGTACTTCTCCAGATTGATCGGCAAGGGATCGCTGTTTGCGGCATGCATGTCCTCGATGTAACGCTGCGGGTGCCTTGCCCTTGCCCTTTTCTCCACCCTTTTCTAATTCCGTACAGACAAGAAAAAAAAAAAAAAAAAAAAAAAAAAAACTCTTGTTTCGTCCACGGATCTGGCTTATCCTGGATCCTGACTGAATTCGCTTGGACGCATAGTCTGCATTGTAGAATCCGGAGGGTCAACTCACACATACACAGAGAAAAGTGGGAACATAGGTAAGGCATCGTCTCTCATTATTTTGTAGTAGTAGTAGTATCAGTATCAGTAGAAGTAGTAGTAGTAGTAGTAGTAGTAGTAGTAGTAGTAGTAGTAGTAGTAGTAGTAGTAGTAGTAGTTAAATCACTATATCCATCACAATTGTCCGTACCTGCTCGCAGATCGGATCCCATCAACGCCATAGTCTTCGGGTATTGCTGTCCTGCTCCACCTCCCTCCCTCTTTCCACCTCCCTCCTTGTGTACAAATTGTACAAATATAAGTCCAGCCCATGCACAGACACTCCGGCCTCAAAATCCTCCCAACCGATCAAGTAATAAGACAAAAAAACTAAAAATAAGTATAGGGTGTAGAGTCACCGACAGAAAGAAGAGAACCCAACGAAACACGCATCAAGCACTGATGGGGTACTCTTCCAATGTGAAGAATTCGTCAAACCCCACGTCCGCCTCCGGCAGCTGGCTGCCACTACCCAGTCCAAATGCGAAGCGGCTGAATTCATCATACTCGGGATCCAGATCATCCGCTTGGTACGTCACCTCCACACCCTCCTCCTTATTCAGGTCCAGTCCCCAAACACCCCCAGGGTTCTGCCCTGTGGAGTGAGGGGAGTGTGGCGTACTCGGCGTAGGACATAAGTCGGGCGTGGGGATAATAGGCTCGGCAGAAGATCCCATGTCCTGCCCACTGCCGCGCGGAGAGCTCATTTGCGACATCGTAGTAGTGGTCGGCAGGCCGTGTGCCAAGATTGTTTGACCTGGTTCCGATCGGACGCGGTTGTGTTGGATCACGTTGACCGGGCGGCTCATCGCCGGAGTTGGGGGAGTCACCGTAGCAGCAGCTGTGGTGGTTGTTCCTCCCACGGCAGGAGTGCCCATCAATGGAGAAGCGGCCAGGGTGTGGACTGGAATGACCGGTGCGGACGCCATGCGGTCTCGGAACTGCCGCACCGGCATCGCTGCCATCTCACCTAGAGAGGCTGTAGGCTGCTGTAGCTGAGGGGATAGATAGCCTGCAGTCCAGGGAGAGCGGAAGGGCTGTTGCGGGCCGAGTTGCTGCTGCTGATGGGCGACGGGGGACCAGGTGGGTCCGCCCGCCTGGGCAATGTAGGATGGCACTTGGCCCGCCGACGCAGGAACAACGTTGGGATACGACGGCGACTGCGCAGTCCCGTCCAACGTAGGAGAGAGCACGTAGCTGCTAGGGTTCGCCGACAGCGGACTGGTCATTGGGCCGGGCTGCACCCTGCAGTCCTCTGCGATGGAAGATCGCAGCCCGGACAGATCAAGGCTCATCTTGCGTATGCCGTTGATCGAGGCTCGCGGGTTCATATGCGCACTGGCAGCTCGCCGCTGATGCAGTCCACCGCCGGGACGTGCACCATGCCAGGCGGCCATTAGGTTCCGGTTGAATTCGGCATGTAGCTGCATGGACTGAGCATGCAGCATCCGATTGATCTTCTCTTGGTAGCGATCATCAACCTCTTCGTACATCGCCTCTCGCTCCACAATGTCTCTGCTGATGAGGAGAGCCTTGCCTGTGCGTTGCTTGTGCAGGCTGGAAGCCCGGTTGGCCGACTCCACGCGGGCATCGAGGCTTCGATCTTTCCGTCTCGAAGCTGCAATGAACGCCCTGGGATCAATCAGCATAGGACAAGCCTCTGGAGTCTGGGTGGCACTTACCGTTCCTGATTTTCCTCTTTCGTGCGAGGATTCGGGGCGACATCGAGGTCGATGCCAGGAGATCCCATTCTGAAGCAGTGTTTGAGAGTCGAGGAAAGTGTGGGTGGTAAAATGTGAGCCGAGAGCAAGACTGCAGTCAAATGAAGGCTGTAGAGATACAGAAGCCCTGGGGCTGAAGAAGAATAGACAACGATAGACGGGTAATACCTCGTCCTGAGCAGGGCCAGAAATAAGATAAAGAAAGAAGTTGTAGAGAGCAGCCAGCAAGAGAAATTAAATAGATGGTTGCCAAGGAGGGGCATCCTACGCTGCAAAGCGGACAACGGAGTGGTTCAGGCCGAGAACCTACTGTACTTGACTACCGGAAATGCAAGCTGGGGAATCCCAAGCTGACAGGCGAAGAGACGGCCGAGTCCAGACAGAATCAGCCAGAGAGCAACCATAGCCACGGCTGGGACTCCCCCCGGGGTGGGTGGGGGGAGGTCTGGCGAGTTCTCAAAGTCTGCTGGAACCATGGGACGGGCAACAGCTAGAGTTCTTTGCGGAGCTGGGTCTGAGCATCCTGGACAGCTGGCGAGAGTACAAATCCATGGGAGGACCTGAAGTCATTCCCAGTTGTTCGAAAGGCAAGGTAGCTAGGGAATGCAGTAAGATACGACCGGAACCATTGTTCCAAGGCCATGATTGCGAGGGTGAGGGTGTAGAGGAAAGGAAAGGCTTGCAGACGAGCATCAGAGAAGAGAAATAGAGGGGGAGAAGGGAAAAGTAGACGACGGAAGGAGGGGAAGAAAGACAAAGGATAGTGTTGGTTGGGTTGACTGATTGCTCGTAAACCCTTGAGGCTGTCTTCAAAGTCAATTGTTCGCTTGCAGGACTGGAGCGAGTCTCTATTGATGAACAACAATCTGAAGGAAGGGAGGAAGAAAGATAAGCTGCCAGCCAGGAGTGTTTCATACTTCCCTTACGGTATGGTATTGTCATCCTGCAGCCCACTGATCGCCAATCCTACCCAGAGCGGCAAGAGCAATCGGACTTAGGCGGGACATCAGCTTAGTCACCACACTGATGGAGCGATGGAGGGCTGCCCCACTGTCAGCCTGTGGGGTTCTTGTATTGAAACTTGCATGATGAGTGGTAATCGATCGGTATGGCGCTACTGTAGGTACATACATGGATACGATTCCAACTGAACAACGGGTGAGTTTTGTACCTCTACTTTAGTACTTACTATTCAAGTAGGTAGGTACAGGACATTGACTAGCTAGACTCCCTTCTCTCCTCTGGCTCATTACTCAGCTGAGAACGATGTGATTATTGACTGCAGACTTCGCCCAATGCCGTCTGGTTATTACCCAATCAGGAAATTGCCCTGAACACGAAGATGACAGTCTCATCTTTGAAGCTGTTTGACCCGGAGGCAAACAGTTGACGGATTCCCCCCCCTCTCTTCAGTCTCAATAACAGACAGACAACTTTCTCTTGTATGATTTGAATTCCCCCATCCTGGTGATCACTACCACCCCCGTAACCACCTGGTCGGTTATTCGCCCCTCTCCCCGCAGACCAGATCTGAGAAGTCGAAGATCTGGCAGATCGCAGCTGCCGACTCGATGGCACATGTACAGTACTTGCAGTACATACCCGTGGCAGATCCCGAAGGAGCCCGGCAATAACCTTGGGATGCGAAGGAAAGACGTCCTGGTCTGTGCCACCGCCACCCTTCCCACTTCTTCGTACTGCACGCCTGTCAACTCACTGTCAGCATTCCCATCAAACCCGAGAGGTCTGAACGGGACCATTCCAAATCCTCAAGGCTCTCCTTGAACTTTACTGTCCCTGTCGGCTCTTGCCTTATCTCACTTCCTTGCCCGGCCCCCACTCCCCCCGCTCAGCTCACACACCCTTTGATTCCCCTCTTTAACTTCACAACCAATCCTTGTCCCAGCCATCCTTCTTTCCCCTCGCCGGCCCAGCAGCCATTCGGCCGAGCACCCTGGTACGCTCTCTCGGCAACGACCCAATCCATTCTGAGGGACAATGCCCGTCTCAGGGGTTCTATCCCAGCTTCATTCCCGAATAAACCTCCGGTGGCTGTCCAGGGCCACCCCAAAACAGGGCCTGAGAGGGGTGGACAGTCCGCGTCAGGAAACAAGAAAACATTGGCAGGAAGGAGGGGAAGATCTTTATCTCCAAGACAAGAGACCACATTTCGCTCACTTCTTCAAACTGGCTCAGGTATACATGGATACGAAAAACTATGCAGGCTAGTTGGGAAATCTCTCACAAAACAAAGCAAAAGCCGCATAAGTCACAAGAGATTCAGATATCAAACACACCACCATGTCTGGAACGGGTTCAAACCATATGTCTAGGGGAATTCCCTCCGTTCGTCTCCTCCCCTGACTCTCTGGTCGGGCGTAATTCAGCTTTCAGCTCTTTTAGGCAATTCCCAATGACGGAACCATGCCCTGCTCTTCTTTGCGCTCGCTACCCACCCGGTACGAGACGCGGAACCGCATCTTGATCGCGTTTCCTTTACCCACCGGAACCCTATCCACCAACATTTCCTGTTGCACCCCGTTCGCCTGTGAGGGTGCAATGTCCCGTCCTGACTGCGGCCGCAGTTGCAGTGTGTATGCCTGTGCGGCTCCGTTAGCATTTGATCTTTGTAGGTCAACCGGGGGGAAGAGGGGAGGGGGGCTCACCTTCTCCACGGCCACTTGAAAGTGTAGTTCACTCAGTGGCTGGTTAGAGCTGTTGGAAAACAGGGCTACCACATGAATCTGCTGCGTTTGTTGGGGATGTCGGCGCGCCATGAATTCAATTCGGAGGGTCGAGTTTAGCACCTGTACGCGGTTCATGCTGGGTAGCGCGTTGCTTTCCGGTAGAGATGAAGCGAAATTCCATTCGTCCTCCTCTCGCGCCTTGATCTGGCTGTTTGCTGGTGGCGCAGGCTTACTTCCCATTAGGTCCAACAACGAACCTGCTGGCGGCTGCGAGCTCGAGGCCTTGCCGGAGGGCAGAGGACTGGCCTGTCGCGACCCGGCAGACACCAAGGACGCAAACGGATCGAGAGTAGGAGGAGGGGTTGCTGTAGCGGGAGAAGAAATAATGCTCTGGGGCCGCCCACCTGGGGCGGGCGTGGATGACTGTGAGGGCGGCTGAGATGTGTTCATCGAAGAGAAGATGTCATAATTGGGCCTGAAGCTAGTGGACGCTTGAGGCATTGGTGGCGTCGCGGACGTCGTAGGGGCTGCGAGACCAGGTATTAGCACGCATCAACGTCACAAGGTATGTAAGTCGCTTACCAGGCCCCAGCGAGATTCCACCATGAGCCGGAACAGGCTCGTCTATTGACAGCCCCAACAAGTCATTCTCCAAAGAGTTACCTCCAGTAGGGGCCACGGCCCCATTGCCGTTGGCGTTCGGTGCGGGTTCGGGATCAAAGTCGATGAGGGAAAGTTCATTGTTAGCGTTCTTCGACACGCCCGTTGTCGTGCCCAGAGTACCCTTGGGAATCTGAGAGGCCGCCTCCCAGTCACCCTTCTTGACAAGCTTGTATCGCTCGATCGTGCGGTGTATACTGTCATTAATCTCGAGCAGCTTCTGTACGGCCTCTGGATCATCCGACTCCTCCTCGCACATCTTCTGGATCTTGGGATGGGCACTTTGGAGTGCGCTCGCCAGTTCCTTGTTGATAACTGTCAGCAGGTCTGTGCCGGTTTTGAGAGATGAAGAACCTACTTCGAATACGTCTCCTTCAGCAACTCGGTCGCCCGGCTGGTGGCTCTGCAGCATTTCCTCCAAGATCTTGGCCTTTTGCTGCACCTTGGCCACCTCTTCTGCCGCCTTGGCCCGATAATCCGTCTTGTGTCGGTTGTCGTAACCGGCCATGACCTTCATCAAGCGGTTGGCTTCTTGCAGGTCGGCGGGGGTACCTCTGCGAATTAGCTCCTGCAGCTTAGCGGATTGAGCCTCACGCTCTTCCTCTTCCATTTCTTCGGCCGAGCGCAGGTTCTTGACGGGTCAGCAGAGCGAGCGTTCAAAACAAGAGAGGGCAAACTCACGTCACTGGGATTCAGGACCGCAGCATCCTCATGGCGGATCTCGGGGAACACGTAGCCCTTGTAAAGTAGCAGACGGTGCATGTCCCGAATGTGGCCCAGGTCCTCCTTGTACCTCGAAGTCTGACAGATCGTCTGTCGCCACTCCTCAATGGACTCGAGGATGCGGTGTTGCACGCGCGAGGGCCGTATGGCCGGGCGCTCCGGGAAGCGACGGACCAGCTCATTGAGGAATTCCTTGGTGCTGATCTGAAGATGAAAGGGATAACCGCAATTCTTCACGCAAATGTCGAGCAACTAGCCGAAAGGGTCTCGTCAGTCTATGTTTCGCGCCAGCTACCCGGTGACATGTTGAGGCCACCTACTGCCAACGCCAGTAGCGCCACGTTTTGGTTCCGCGAGTTGATCAGATGAACGATCTCGATAGCCGCTTCTCGAGGTCTGCGGGCGGCCATTAGTTCCGATGGGCGCTTCCCAGGACGGCGGCGATGCGCAACGCCAGGCCAAGAGACTCACGCATTGCCTTTCTTGGAGTTTATCAGATCGGCCACTTCGAGATTCAGGGCGAGGTTGGGTTCATAGTGGGACAGGTCACAGGCATTTCCTGTGGTAGTGGGAGATAAAATATGAGCAATTCATCATATTTCTGTAAAGCTTGATATATTGAAGATTGTGGTGGTGGGGAAAATCCAGGCGAAAGAAAACAAGAAGGAGGGGAGGGGGCCACAGAAGACACATACGGATAGCTCTTTGTAGCGGTGTTAAGCCCGGGTCAGCGTAGGCACCGAAGCGGTCCCTCGCTGCCATACGTGCTGAAGCGGCCTCCAGGGTGAATTAATTGAAAAGAACCAAAGGGAGAATGAGAAGAATAAGGCGAGAAAATTGAAAAAAGCGAATATTGGGTAGCGCGCGCGGAGGAAGATCGGAGTCGGGGAACGGTTTAAAGTAGTGGTAGTAGTAACAAGCAGTGGGAAGAAGGAGGATGATGATGATGATGATGATGGAATAGGTGGAATGAATCAATGGGGGAAGCGGACAGGGAAGAATGAGGGGAACTTCTTTCCGTCCCGATGCCGGGTTAACCTGACAGGGCAGGACGGGCTTGGTTGGTTGGCTGCTCTCCGTCACTGCCTGCATTTTCTCGACTTCTACACCACCAACCTTTGCACCTTCACCTCCCTACCTCTTCTAAACACTGCACACCAGTTTCTCGAAAGAGCTGTACATGCTTGCATCCTGTTACCTTACGCAATTCAATATACTCTTCACCCTGACTATACAGATCCTCTAAACAAAAGCCAAAAATCACACCATGGTCCGCCACAAGAAGGACAACTTCTCCCGCGGCGGCAAGAAATTCTCCTCCGCCCCGCGCTCTCGTCCCCCTCCCCGCGGCGGCGGTGGTGGTGATGGCGACAGTGACACCGAGCAGGGCGGTTACTCTCGTCCTCCCTTCAAGGCCGCCTGCTGGGACATGGGCCACTGCGATCCGAAGCGATGTTCCGGCAAACGATTGATGAATTTCGGCCTGATGCGCGAGTTGGCGATCGGCCAGCGCTTCCCCGGCGTCGTGATTTCGTATGTTTTGTCGCGAGCCCTCACCCGACAACCGCGCACACAGCCATGGCCCCAGAATATCGATGGTTGCGGATCGTGGACTGTCGTTGCTAACATCCTTTACATTTTCCCAGGCCCAACGCCAAAAAGGTCGTCTCCCCCGCTGACAAGGATCTCATGGAACAATTCGGTGCCGCGGTGGTCGAATGCTCTTGGGTGCGCACCAAGGAGGTCCCTTGGTCCAGAATCGGTGGCAAGTGTGAACGTTTGCGTACGTCTCTGCTCCCTCTCTCCCTTTATTCCATCTACATGCATCCTTCTCGATCAAGTCTAATGTGTTGCTGGGCTGTGCTTCACATAGTCCCCTACCTCATCGCCGCCAACACTGTCAACTACGGCAAGCCTTGGCGTCTGAACTGCGTCGAAGCTCTGGCGGCCTGTTTCTGTATCTGCGGCCACGAAGACTGGGCGCGCGAAGTCCTCAAACCCTTCCGCTACGGGGAGGCCTTCATGGAGATCAACGCCAAGCTGTTCAAGCGCTACGCGGCCTGTGCCGATGAGGAGGAGGTGAAGCGCGCCGAGGAGGATTGGCTCGCCAAGATCGAGAGGGAATACGAGGAGAATCGGGCCACGGGGGCGGACGACATGTGGACCGTCGGAAACACGAACCGGAGGGCTGAGAGTGATTCGGAGGAGGAGGATGAGGACAAAGATGATGAAGAGGAGGAAGAGGAGGAGGAGGAGGATAAGGACCCGTTCGCCATCTCGGATGATTCGGAGGAGGAAGAGCAGATGGCTGCGATCAGAGCGAAGATCTTGAACTCCAAGGCGTTCCAGAATCCCGAGGTCGAGGAGAAGGCGAAGCCCGAGCGGATCGCGAGGCCTGAAGAAGAGACGGTTCCACAGCAGTTGAAAGAGGACTCGGATGCGGAGTCGGGGTCGGCGGAAGGCGGCAGTGATGATGAAGAGGATGCTTTCGATAATATCATCAATGCCACCCCCGTCACGGATCGCACTGGCATTATCGCGGCTCAGAAGAAGAAGCAGAGAGAGACGGTCAGTGCCTCGTTTTCGAGGACGGTGGTCGATGCGCCCAAAAGGTGGTAGTGGTAGTCCGTCTTGGGGCACACTTGCACTCAGACAAAACTAACGAGATATCATGGAACTATAATGAAACACTCATGAAGTTTATACAGTTGGCATACGTGTGTATCCTGTGCCATTGCAGATAGGGTATGCTTAAGAACAACAGACCATTCTGACCATCCAAAACAAGCTGTGACCGCCAAAGCTAAGGAAGCAGCGAGAATAGCATGACAGCCCATAGTAAATATTAAGTATGAAAGGCACCAATATTTCTCATCCCATCGCTCGACCCATAAAGCCCACAAACGCCTATTTACATGACATACCGCAAATTCACATCTATATTCCGTCAGAACCGCTTCCTACATTATACATTATACCGGAACAACAGGACACTGCTTACCCAAGGGATGACTGCTGCTCAGCTGCGGCTTCTGCGAGTACTTGGTGGCCAACTCGTCGCGGATGCTGTTCAACAGCTGTACGTAGCTCTGCTGTGGGTTCTTGCGGAGCGCGCTGATGAACGCCCACGACATGGCTCCCGTGGCCTGTCCGGCAATCTGTGCGTCCTGGCTGGTCTGATCGTCTTTGCTGCCCGACCACATGATCACGTCTGCCGGGCTTGTCTTGGTCTGTTTGGTACGCTCGTACGCCTCGTCTCCTTTGGTCGCCTTCTTCAGGAATCCCACCGCCGTTGACATCATGCTGCTCATATCGCCCCGCGCGTATGCGGAGACCACGCCCAGCAGACCCTGACCCGCCTCCTTGGCCAGATTGGGCTCCTTGAGAATTCCTTGGGTAGAGTAGATGTAAGGCAGATCCAGGGCAGATCCAGAATGGCACGAATCGAAGATGGCTGTGAGCCGCACTCCTGGCTGAAGGGGTTTGACCATGATGCGATGCATCTCGTCATCGACAATATGTCCCGCGGCGCGGAAGTCGACCGGGTAGATCACCTCATCGTATCCGTCGTCCTCGTCGCCGTCCAGATCAGGGGTCTGACCGCCGTGGCCTGCTGCCGTTAGACCAGCCTTGAAAGAAAAGAGGGGGTTAACATGTCGGCACTTACCGGAGTAGTGGAAGAATAGAGAGTCGTTAGGCTGCGCATCCTTCACCAACCAATGCATAGCCCGGAGAATATTGGCCTTGGTGGGTTGGCTCATAGGGTTTTGCTGATCATCCGTCAACAGAACCATGTCCTCACGAGCATAGCCAAAGTTCTGATTCAGGTATGTTGACATATTCTTGACATCGTTAATACACCCCCGGAGTTGACCTTTCTGGTTGAAATAGTTGATTCCAATCAATAAGGCCTTTCTCTTGCCCGTGCAACGAGAGTACTGGAAGCTGTAGCCTTGCGGCGCACCATGACCGAAAGCCACCGGCTCACTGGGCGGAGGAGGAGGTCCGTTGCCCTGGCTGCCCTGGTTGTACTGGTTCGAGTACCCTGAAAAGCGTCAGTTGCGTCAAAACTGCGCGTTAGTGCGGTTTGTGGCTTACCCTGCTGACCACCATATTGGGGAGCACCATAACCACCCTAAAGGACTGCCGTTAACCGTCCGTTGCACAAGGAAATAAGGCTTGGGCTCGCTACATACATTATAGCCGCCCTGGGGCGGTTGCGATCCCTGATACTGTTGGGGCGCCGGCTGACCGTAGGGGTAAGGATTGCTGGGAGGTGGTTGTTGTTGGCGGTAGGCCTGACCAGGGTATCCGCCGCCGCCGCCGCCATAAGACGCTTGGTGATGGTGATGGTGAGGATTCATTTGTCTGGGACATTGATTAACATCAAGCACGAGGCGTCCTTTTGGTTATTTGTCCAAGCAAGAAGAAGAGGGCGACCGTGACTCACTGCTGATACTGTGGTGGCGGGCTGCCGTAGCTCTGAGGGGGGTAATTATACTGCTGCTGTTGCTGCTGCGGGGGATACCCGGGCGGGCCCGAATATGGAGGATAGTAGGACATCGCCGAATTGCAGAGGGAAGGAGAGGATATATGAGCGAGTCACAGGAGCAGAATATGGAAGACTGATACGTAGACCCCAAGCAGGTCACGAGTCAGGGAATAGACGAGAGGGCAAAGCGAAGGGAGAAGAAAGGGAGAAGAAAAAAAAAAGAAAGTGTTGAAAGAGGAGGAGAGGAGAAGGTTAGGTCAGGTCAGATGGTGAGGGAGTGTGAGAGAAAGGCGCAGTCGCAGTCCGTCACTCACTGGGGAAAGGCGGCAGTGGAGCTCGACGCGCCGATTGGTGCTTCCTCGGTTGGATTTACTTCTTCAATTCCAAGCTAGATAGTAAATAATCTGAAGAGAAATAAATAGACGACAAAAAAAACACAAAATTAGTCTATTGGGGGACGAAAACCATAGACTTGGATGAACATTTGGATAGGTTACTAGGTCTTTATCCTGCATATCGGTCTCCCCGATCCCCAGCTGCATTGCGCCGATGCAAATAATAATCAACCTGCCAGCGTCAGAATTCCAAATGCGCCCCTCCTATCACAGATCGTATTCGGCCCGTCCTCATTGCTGCCCATCCTCGTGGCTATCAGCCATCATGGTGCCGCTGAAAAACTGCCGGGGTATAAACCTATCGATTCATGGCGATCGCGAACGAACTCATCAAAGCCCTCGTGGGATTTCAGGACAGCAACACGTGATGCGGTAAGGGCCGAGTAAGTGAGTGAGTGACACATAGTGGACCTTCCCGATCTGGATAATTTAGTCTACGACCGGAACAGCCCCTATTGTAGAAGATAAATAAATATGATATTATCCACAACCAACGGAAAGCACTCAAGCGCTATTCAGATTATTGATTGCTTTTATATTCAACCATTCCATCGCATACAGGTTCAAATCTATCATTCGTCCGCCTATCGTTTACCGTCCGCGGCGAGGCATGCCACGTCCGCGGCCACCCAGAGCGCGCTGGGCAGCACCCGGCGGGAGTCCACGCGCCGGTGCCTGAGCTTGGGCTGACTCTTCGTTCTCTGTGGTAAGAAAGGTCGTCATGTCAGCTCTGGAGTAGAATCGGTTGGGGATGCTGGATCTCTTACTAATAGTTTCGTCCACACTCAAAATCAGGCACGCAGCCTCAACAGCCGCCTGGATGGCATTAACCTTAACCAGACTGGGCTCCCACACAAAGGCAGCCATGTTGTCCCGAACACCCTCGTTGTCGAAGTCCACACCTGCCCAGACGTTGCCCTTGCGGTGCTCCACCCGCAGGCGGTTCAGGATATCCGTCGCGTCAAATCCAGCGTTGTCGCACAGCTGACGGGGAATCACCTCCAAGGCCTTGGCAAAGGCCTTGACCACTGCCTGCTGCTTGTGGGGCACGTTGCGGTCCGCGAAGCCGTGCATGAAGCTCGACAGCTCCATCTCGGTGGCACCGCCACCGGCAACGATGGTGGTGTGGCGGAGAGCACGCTTGACGATCATAATGGCATCGTGCAGACTGCGCTCAACCTCCGCAATAAATTGCTCCGCTCCACCGCGCAGCACGAGTGTGCAGGTCTTGGCGGCAGGACATTCCGAGAAAAGGTTGTAGCGCTCACCACCAATTTGACGTTCCTCAAAGACACCGCATGTACCCAAGTGACGATCCTGGATGTCACTGCAAGTCGATTGCGTTGCCGCACCGGTCGCCTGGCAGACCCGGTCCATATCATCGGCAGCCACACGACCAGCACAGAAAATATCGCGATCCGCAAAGTACCTGTGCACAGTGAATCGAAAATTAGTGACTTGCAGGCCAACAGCAAGGATGGTGAAAGAGAGACATACTGCGTAGCCAGATCACCAATAGGCAGCTTGCTGAGAACAACCTTGGCGCCGGTCTTGTAGATGGCCTCGAGCTTGTTGTAAATGATCTGCCACTCGGCATCGACAATAGCCTGGTACTCCGACACATGCTCCACCCGCACTTCGGCGTTGTCCTTCTCGCTCTTCAACTCCAACTCAACGTTCAGACACACGATCTTGGGGTCCTTGAAGTACTTCGGCTGTTGCTCAAATCCGGCATACGAGAAGGTCTTCTTAAAGGCAACACCGTTGACGAAGAGTGAATCCTGCAGACCACCACCAGTAACTCTCTTGATACCGATCAGCTTCTCGTTGAGGTCATCCTGGTCGAGCGACAGGACGGCATCCACCACCACTATAACAAATATTTAGTTTCCAGAACCAAACTCCCTGTATGACAATAAGGCCAACTTACTCTTGGTGAAGAAGTCTGAGTTGCGCTTAATAAGCTTGCTGTTCATCGCTGTTGCGGCCAGGCGTCGTAGCGTCTCCACCTTCTTCTCCTCGCTTCCGGCGGCCTCGATCATGTCGATAGCAATCTCTTTGATCTTGTTCACAGCCATGGAGCTGGCTCTCCGCAGACCCTTGACAATAGTCTGTGAACTGACTCCCTGCTCGACGAGTTCCCGAACTTCCTTCAAGATCTCACCGGCCAAGACGACAACCGACGTTGTTCCATCTCCCACTTCGGCATCTTGAGACCGGGCAATGTCGGTGAGAATGCGGGCGGCGGGGTGCACGATATCGAGGAGCTAGATTGGGGGTAATGTCATCAGCATCCGACAGTGTCATAAGGAAAGTACTATTTGCCCAAGGAGAACAGGGAAAAAAGAGCCAAGTGAAGAGACATAATACAATCGGGACCGACGCACCTTCATGACGGTGGCTCCATCGTTCGTAATGGTCTGCTTGCCGTTGCCGTCCACCAGCAACAAGTCTCCTCCATACGGGCCGAGGGTGCTCTTGATCGTAGACTGGACTGCAACACAAGCATTGATATTCGAGATGATCTGGCCCTTTCCCTGTGAGGTATCCGTGCCTGTTGGAGGAAAAAATCACAAGGTCAGTTAGCAACGATCCGCCGTACACACAGCAGAAGCAGCATTTGGGTGCGGGCGAGGTGACGGACCCTCCTTGAGCACGATGATCGTGGGAGTCTGGCCAGCGAAGGCCATTTTGGTGAAAATGAATGGGCGAAAAGAGAGGGCAAAGCGAGGGAAAGGTGAAGAGCCGAGTACGGAAGCGTGGAGAGTTGATGGGAAAGTGGCCCTGAATAATGATCGCAGCTTTCCTGGAGGGGAATGCCTGCCTCTCTGACCAAAATTTCCCCGAGCTCCCAGCGTCGAAGGCGGTGACCAATCATGCCGCGCCCCGCAGCCCTCCTTTTCTACCGCCAGGGAGTATGAATTCAACTCAACTACAGTACAGAGTAGTATTTCCATAAAGTGTTCCAAGTTAGCATAGACATGACCGCATCTCGTCTCATGTTGTTCTCTTTACTCAGCTCATTTGGGCTGAATACAATCTTGATTAGCGATTTTTCCTCAGCCGCAGGAAACTGTACAGGATCATAGAAGAGATCAAGTCGAGCGACTATTGATTATTCCCCGCAAGAGCATCTCTGTGCACAACCTTCCTACACACATTAGTTCCATATGCTAATAGCTCATGCAGCTTGACCGGAGCTCCCAGAAACCGACTTGCCAAGGCTATATGTCGAGGAAACATTCGAGTTCGAGTAATTGTATCACATGGCTGATGCTGTGCAGGCAGAAAGTCCTTCTGTACTGTCTCTCTGACATTCCGTTTGCTGCATGCAAGAGCAACATCAATGATTCTAGAAGCTACAGGCACACTACATCGTAGACGAAAACACAGAACTCTCAGATGTTTTGTTCGGGTTGAAGATAAAGACCGAACGACTCCTGCAACGCTGAATCAATCAAATCGGGCAAAAAAATGACTTGGTGTTGCATTGTATCCCTCTCCTCCACTATAGCCGTAGAAAGGAAGGCATCTGGAATACTCAGTTGTATGTAAACACCAGCAAAAGCTTTGGAAAGCATACGGCTAATGTACGCATTAGCGAGCAATTTCTGCGAACCTTGACAATAACGAAGCTCTTGTGAGTGTTTACTTAAATTTTGGGGTTAGTCCAGGGTCAAGAATTCATGTATTGAAGGTTGCGTTGAGGAGTCGAGAAGTGATGTCACGCAACCGTATATTTTCTGCATCAAACATCAGCTGCTTCTATGCTTCTACATGAACCGCTCCTGCTCCATGAACAAGGAGCTCCCTTAGCTGCGAACTTTTGAGTCTACTGTAAATCCTCCCATTGTGTTGTTACAGAATCTAGGTTACCTATTCCACCTGTCTAATAGCTCCAATGTCGACTGGGAACGCCCCTCAGTTCTACCCCAATACGCTGAGTCCTGTTGTGACCAGCGAAGACTCCCTAAAAGATACACTCAAGCAGCTCCAAGAGGCTGTCCAACATGGGGCTATGCTTCTACAAGAGAACTGTCCCCCGTTAAAAAACTGGGGAGAATCCCATAATACTGGTTTCTATGCTGGACTTCCAGGTATATTGTCGCCGCATAAACCAACAACTGCCGTTCCTTGATCAAAACACCCTTTTTTTCGTGCTCCGCTGATGATGGCTTAGGTATCGTTCTGACTTTCTTGCGTCTAGACCACCAAGTCAAATCACTTGGGTTTGACTCTCAGCGCTTTCATCAGCTCGCCATTGAGCGCATATTGCCAGAAGGCCCGGATGTGCCAATCTTGCATGAGAGAGTGTCTCCGTTCGGCTCTTCTAGCGCATTGGCGGGTCCGATACTGCGCATCCTTGCCTCAAGGGACTTGAAAACAGCAGTTTCTAGTGACGATACGAAATGCATCCAAAAGGTGATGCGGATCGCTCTGAACAATGGCCACATGATATCACATGGAGGCTCGCTCATGGGCTCAGATGAAGTTCTATTCGGTCGGGCCGGCTTGCTGTGGGCTTTGCTTAACCTTCGACTGCGTGATTATGAGGATGAGACAGCGCAGGCCTTGACTGTGGTTTTCAAAGAGATACCGCGGCTAGTCGACCGCATCATTGCGAGTGGAGTTGTTGGTAGGGAAGACTTCATCTCCAAGCATGGAGATCAGGATGCCTTGCCATTGATGTGGCACTGGAAGGAAGACCGGTTTAGTCTTGGGGCGTTAGTATTATCTCAACTAACATTTTTGCACTAGGCTGACAATATGACCAGAGTACATGGCATAGGCAAGTATATATGCACTATGCAGTAACCATAAGGTTTCAATAACTGACAATTATGTCTGACAAGCTGGCATACTTTCTAGTCTCCTTGCCTGCAAGCCAGAAGAACTCAGCAACGGTGCAGAACGCGACTATTTGCCACTAATAGCTGGGACAATTACAGGTCTTTGCAAAATATGTATTGCTAATAGTGGCCACCTGCCTACCAGTCTTCCTTTTCATGGCTCTTCGCGCCGCTCTAGCCCTCTTGTCCAAATATGTCACGGCAGCCCCGGTTTCCTGAATCTCATGGCCTGCGCCAGGAGAAATCGTCCCTTGGCTTCCACTTTCTGGCAGCCGGAGTGGGACAAGGCCATTTCTGTGGCGTGTGATCGAGTCTGGGAGGAAGGGGTCCTGTACAAGGGTGGTGGCTTATGCCATGGGATTGCAGGAAATGCATGGTCGTTGCTACTCCTTCATGACAGCTTTCAGTATGATGAGGGTCTCATGGAGACAACCAGACGTAACTACGTCGCGCGAACGGGAGACGTTGATTTCGTGTCCAATGCAAGCGAGCTAACAGGCGACTATCTTCTTGCAAGAGGACTCGCATTACTATTAGAAGCGCGAAAAACGCCCCCTTACAATGATCTGAAGCGAGACGCGTCCTTGTACCGCATGCCCGATCGCCCGTATTCCCTCGCAGAAGGCCTCGCTGGCACTGTCTGTGCATGGGCAAACGCTTGTGTAATCCTCCAGTCAATGCTACGGAGCACGCACATACAGAAAGGCCTTTCCTCACACGATGGGGACGCTATATTTCAGGAGTACGAATCGCAGAAGCTGGAAATCCCAATTCTTGCTTACCACAAGCCTACTGGTCTACTATGATTGAAATGGATACAGGAAGCTGTCTCTTTGTCACGATAATAACTCGTGCAAGTCAAATTGATCATTGCTATAATGCTCCAGACACATGAAAATGAAACGTGAAGTGTCATATCAGCCATCCGTGGAACTCCTTGACGCCATGCTTATGCCGGAATCTCAATCGTTAGTCGGGTAAATCCTGCACCTGAGCCCAAGCGCCGTGAATTATCATTGTCGCCATAGGCATGCGTTAGAAGAGTGTGAAACCGGAGCGGTACATAGGTGGTTGTCCCGGTATCTGGAACTTGTATTCAACACGCCTCGGCACAAATTGGCCTTGCGGCGCCTCAACCGCAACCCTCCATCGCCGCCAGCAATTTGTGACCTGATGATGTCTATCGCCACAAAATGAACACTGCTTTGGCCTATGATGGGGCGGGTTCGGTGGAGCTCGCGCTCGCGCTTGCTGGCCGCTGTGAGACTTTCCCGCTTGCTCACGCTGCATCTGTTCAATCACATAGTCATTAATCTCTTCTTGGCTCGGCCTTTTGTTGTGGCCTCGTACACCTTTACTGCGAATGTACATCTGCTCGTCGTCATGAGCCATTCGGTGGACAACAAAGGCGTTTATGTCATCTTGAGTAAGAGTATCAGGATCCATCGACGTCCTCGCTGGAACTGCAAAGTCTCGCTCTGAGATCGCATTCTCTTTCTTTCCCTTCCCTGGCAATTGTCGCAGACTTTCTTGCTTCATGGCCAGGCCCGTCAGCTCTTGGAATGACATCCGGTCCTCTGGGTCGGAGGCATTTATGCGGCTATCTCGCAGCATTGTCGTAGCCCAATCCCTCCAACCAGGACACTCTTTGAGCTTAGTGAGAAATAACAGATTGATCTGAGAGTCTGGGATGCGAAAACCATCATTGATATGCTCGAGCCCTTCCCGAAGTGCTTCAATCAGAGTGATAAAGTCAGCGACCATGTCGGATTTGTCGGGGTCGAGATCAACGAATTCCCCGATGTAGTGCATCATCCGAGTATTCCGTTGCCAGGATCCCATCCTCAGCCAGGGATTCAAGGTAGAAAGAGCGCGCTCGACAGGAACGGAAACAAAGAAGAAAATACTATAAGATGTCGCATGGTAAAGGTTCTCTGGCGGCTTTTTGAGGTGATTCGGAGTGTTTTGCGGACGAAGCGGGGGATGACGTCAGACGGGTACCTGCCCGTCAGCTTGCCAGATTTAGTAAGGGTTCAGTTCAATCCATGGGCTTAATGATCCCCAGATCCATAGAGACCTTCTTCCCTTCTCTGCTCTCCTGAAAGCTGTCTGCCTCGATTATTGACCACGAGGCGATCTTCGCGACCTCAGATGCCGTTCGCGCTTACGGACAGCAAATCAGAATCCACCAGCTTATTGCCTTATGGATCCTTGGTGTCTTCCTACGCCCCATCGCACCCCGTGGCAGTGCCCGGCGCGCTGACTGCAGATTTGGGGCCGAGCGTTTCTTGGCCCCCGATTTAATGACAACCAAATGATTATCCCAGTTTGTTAAGCTTGCTGGAATTTCCTCGTACTTCAAAGAACGCTGCCTCCTGATCTCGCCCCTACTCCGTCTGAAAAAAACTAGACCAGCCCGGGAAATCACCAAGAGAACCAAAGCCCCCAACCAACCCACATGTAGCTACCATGGACACAGTGCCACCATCCTATCAGTATGCTACAGCCCGCGATGCATGGTCCATTATATCGCAGTACATCCCATCAAGCGATCTGTGCGCTGCTGCTTTAGTCTGTCGGCGATGGCATGGGCTGTTCATGCCGTTTCTATGGGGCGACCCTGCTTCACACTTTGGGACTGAAAATGATGCAGTCTACGGTATGAGATCCCTGGTCTTTGGGGCGGGTGCTGAAATCCTAGCGCTGACGAAAGATATGCCGTGCAGTCGCTTTGACAAGGTTCAGGCGGACACTCAAGTATGCCCGTCTCGAGGTGCGGATGCTCACTCATACACTGCATCTACCCCCGGCCTTGTCAGAAATCTATGGTGGTCCACGTCCGGAGTGGCTGAGGGAGATTCTAGACTCTCTGCCAAACCTCCAGTCTCTTATCGTGTCCAAGTTGCCATTTTTCGATCATAATGCCATGGTGGCTCTAAAAGGCGCTAGTCGAGGTGTTGAAGATGAAGCAACAACTTCCCGCACATACAACATTCGCTTACTACTGGCGGACAGTGAATATAACACAACCTCACAGGGTATTGCAGAGACGCTGATGTACTTCCCTGGATTGACTTACCTAGACTTATCCTATACTACCCCTGCTAGAGATCGCTTGGTTCTGTCGGCATTATCACAACTAGAATGCCTTCAAGTACTCAAGCTACGAGGCATCGGGTTAAAAGACAACGATGCGGAGTTCCTTGCTAACGCTATTGGCTATCGTGTTCGGTTTCTTGACTTGCGCAACAACCTTCTTACAGATATGGCAGTGAGGTCTCTGCTGCAAGCCTGCTTTCGACCCACAAGCAATGTCCCCGCAGAACTTAGCTCGAGGTCGGGAGCATGGGGTAGTCCGATTGGCGGGTCTCAGTCAATACCACTCTCGTCGATTCAAAGGTGTTTAAGTAGCCCTATGCTGGATGAGAGATACATGGCAGCATTGACCCAACCACTAACAGGACGTTCTTGGGTGGAGGACTTATCAGAAGTTGGTATAACCCATCTGTATATTGCGGACAACCTCATTTCAGTCGAAGGAGCAGCAAGCCTCCTCGCTTCGTCTTGTCTGCACGCTCTTGATGTCGGGACAATCAATACTGCTGAATCCATCAATAGACGGCAACGTTCGCTAGCTTCTGCAAACGAGAACCGTCAGGATCTTCCAGGGGCTGAGAAACTAGTCCCTATCTTGGGCTCTGCTGCTAAGAAAGCCCTCACATACCTTAGAGCCCACCATGCGCTCTGCACAGCTGAAGTACCCGCAAAAGAAGCCACATCACCAGACGCACTTTTGCCCGAACTCCCAGCAGGGAGTGATAATATTGGGCCGCGTATACCAGAGCTAGAGTCTATCAACGAGGTTCATGAGCTACCAACGAATTCGATGCCCATTTATGAGCTTGACAGCACTCCAGTGCCTCGGCCATCAAACCCACCTTCGCGCATTGCTGACTGCAACACTAGTCCCACTTTGTGTGAAGACGAACCATTACCGCAATGGCGACGTGGATCAGTCTTTGCACCTGAAGTGATAGACGCTTTAGAAGTGAATAGAGATGGAGTAAGACATTCTGACTTCACCACTCCATCGCCCCAACTGCCTCACGATTTGTCGACCTCCAGTATCTCCAGCATCCTGGATAGCAATATCGACACATTGGGCAGCCAAACACTATATTCCTCTCCAGTGGCAATAGATGATTCCCGCGCTCAGAAAGTCCAGGAACTGCTTTCTAAGCGTCCTAAGGGCCTTCCTCGCCGGGATAGCAGAGGAACTCACTATTATCCACATCTGCATCCTTCCCACGTGTCTCATCTAGAACAGCTTGTATTGACTGACGTTCCATCTCATGTACCCGCGAATTCGCCAATTCTTGCGTCGCTGGTTCGTTTTATAACGGCGTGCTCGAATGAATCATTACTAGCTATGCTTCAGGCAGGATCAGATTATTCGCTTCCACCTGGTCAAGCTCGACTGCAAGCCGAACAAGAGAGTGCTCGGTCCTTATTTGCCTTGCGCCGGATTGTACTTGAAATTACGCCAATATCCCCAGCTCAAGGTCGTGCTAGGCTGACCCGATGGAGACCTACCAGCTACCAGGCTGGTACCTTGAAATCAAGTACTGGAGACAGGGACTCCGAAAACCTTTGGTCAGCAGCCGTCGATGACTTCAGCTTCTTTGGCGAGGAAGAGTGTGGAGTTCCAGAAGGCTATTCAGGAAAATACTTTCCCATGGCGGTTTTGAATGAGAAGGTCTTGTTGATACCAGAAGATGATGACCCCAGGCTCTCTGGATACCCGGAATCAAACGCCACTTCATCTCCAATATCAATCAGTTCAGGTCAGCAATACACACCGCAAGCTAGATCGAGGACTATTTCTATAGGCTCCACATCTACCGCAAGAGATGGTCACCCCCAAGGCTCATCGACTACTACACCAGGCATGATAAGCTCTGCCACCGCAGAGTCTCAGGTTGAAGTCCCGATGGTAGATCTTGTCGCTGAGCTGGCTGCCTTCCGACGCGCTAAAAAGATAGAGTATGAAGAAGGGGTAAGGCGCGATCGAGGGCGACGGGATACAGTGGGGACCACATTCTCCTCTCACCTCTCTCCTACCACTACAGTCTCCTCTTTTTCTCCGTCCCCGAGCTTCTCTTCCTTAGCAGGGGCATCATCCTCCATGCAGTCCGTTCAACAGTTTGTGGAAGGTCACTGGAAAGGAGAAGTGAAGATAATACGAAATCCAACCCCCAAGGGACGCAGTGGGGTCGTCGATATGTATGGGAACTATTTCGAGAAGGGCTATTTGTACCCGTGAGTGAGGGTAGGCTGCTGACATTGAGAGGACATGGCAAGTCTAGCATATTCCGATCATTACATATGATACAGGGCCAAAAGCAGTAGCTAAAGCATTTACCCGAATGGAGAGATTCAAAACCGATGTCTTCCAAACAAGGAAAGATGCGACTGAACAAGCGTGGCTCCTTTGCGAGCGGGTCAATATCTGATGTATCTACAACATCTCCTGGGAGAACCAGTCCTAGACTTTTGAAAATCCGTTTTTTTCAACCCCGTAGCTGAATCCCGTTCATTGAAAAGTAAAGAAAAAGATGGTTTCATCAAGCACACATGATCAAGAGAAAAGCGTTACGCCGAGTAGGAATTGGCCCTTTTTCAAACTAATTCCATTTTTGTTCTCTTTCGAGGAAAAAAAGTGATTAATGATTCATTCCATTTCCTTTCCCTTAGTTGGCCTTAGCAGCCTGAGGGGGGCTCAGCTTCTTGCCGTCCTTGTTGTACCTGATGCGAGGAGGAGGGGCACGGTTGCGACGACCTTCCCGGGAGCGGACACTGGAAGTCAAGGTCAGCATCAAGCGACATCCGTTTTTAAAAGGATCATATGCGTACCGGACGATCTTGCCGTGGATAGCGCAGGAGACACAGTACTGCAGCTTGAGGTACATCTTGGGGACGGCGTAGTCAGTGAAGACGGAGGCGTCGGAGATATCACCTGCGGAGAGTAGATGTCAGTCGCGGGGGTCATGTTGTTTGTTGTTGTGCGGCGGCCTATTGCTCAATTCCTGCGGCGGCCGAACGTCCGCCAACTCGTCGTCTCCAAAACGCAATGCAGTCGATCAGGTCCAGCTCTTCCTTGGAACGAACAATATGCGGCGCATCGGTATAACCAATAATCACGATGGGGTTTGCGGTGGCAGAGATCGGTGGAACATACGGATGGCAGCGGACTCAACCATGTTGCGGATGGTGAATCTCTTGATGGCCTTGTCCTTGGGGGTGCAGCGCGCGCAGTTGGAGCAGCGCACGGGCTTGACGTGGCCGCGGCCGTTCTTGTTGCGACCGCTATAGGAGAAGCGTTAGTTTCTAACCCGTTGAACAGGCTTGTGATATATTGGATGTCAAGTGTCTTGGGAAATCCACTCCAACTTCTTCATGTCTGTCGAACAAATCACCACCGATAAGACATATCCGCCGGGCCCTCTTCGAATTGTTGAATTCGAAATGTGACTCTCTTTCTTGTATCGTTCGAACTGTTGCTCGGGTCCCGGCGTATGTATGTGCGGATGCGTGCGATTTGACAGTCCAGAGCATGGTGTCGAATTTGGATGTGGATTTGGATATAGTTGTGGGGGAGCAGCAAAATTCAGGGTGGTGATCGGTTGTTCTTACTTGTTCGCCCTCTTCTTGACCATCTTGACGGATTTTTCTGTGGCGGCGGGTCAGAGACTGGAAGTCAGGAAAAATCGGGGGGGAGGGGAGGTTGAGCGCGTACTGGGTTGTCGGGGTTGGTTGTCGTCGTAAAGGCACCGGAGTCTCTCGCTCACTCGGGATGAGGTTGTGTCGGGTTTGTGTGGGAGCCCTATGCCCTTAAGCGAGGCGGGTCACGGGATTGAGGCTTCCCAGAATTTATGCCTTGATGCCTTAGAGAGTATGAGTGCCTGAGGTGTAGTAAGTGTGGCTGATGTGGGGCAGTTGATGCCTGGCCTTTCTGCCTCAGGCAAATAGACTTCTCTCATGTGACCCGGTCAGAAAGTGGCCTGACCGCCTTTGACGGAGAGAAGTTGGGTGATCCGTTCATCAATTCATGTGTTCACGTGCTTTCGGCCTGATGAAAGTCGAGTCCCGACCTCACATTCAATTTTCTCCTTAAATGGCTTAGTGGCAATGATCGATCCATCATTACGGTACACTAATACGGTATTTTGTTTACTCTTGCGGATCTTGATGGCCTTGATGGATGGCATGCGTGGCGGAGGGTGGGTGGTTCTGTATGTATTGTAGTGGTCCCATCTCCGTCAGTCTCCCTCCCTGGAAGTTGAAACTGTCAATAACAAGTAAATAGTTTGGCCGAACTAGAACTAAGTTGGGAAACCTCCTTCTTCTTTCTCTCCCCCCCCCCCCCCCCTGCCCTCCCTCCCTCCCCCTGGTTTGTGCCGTATCTTTCTCGTGAATCAAACTTCATCCTCAATTCTTCCTCTTTTTCACTCTCTGTTCCTTCTTGTCTATCTATCTTTGCGTGGTTTAATCTCTCTCCTCTCCCGTTCCGAGAAGACTAGTCTCCCTCTCTCTATCTCCTTAAAGTCCCGATTGTCTTCAATTTGCTAGTCTCCGCTTCTCTTTTTGAACCGGTTCGTCCAAACACAGACCGACTTTAAGTCAGCTCCGCCAGTCACCGACCGGGGACATGTCATCCACACCCACTTTTAAAGGAACCATCAACCACAAAACGGTCGGCAGAGGCAGGCTGCCCGACTTCCAAGACAGTCACATTCCTCGTCCTCGTCCGGACACTTCCTCCACTGTACACACCCCGCAGACCGCGTCCAGCGATATTGGAAGCAACACCATGAGTGCTGCCAGCAGTCGACAGCGTCAAAATCAGTCCAAGCGCGATGAGGTATGCTTGATTCTCCACTTGATTCTCTTCTTGGATCTTTTTTCCCTCTCTTCTACTTCGCTGCACCTTTGATTACAAGCAACATGGGTCGAAGTCTGATGCCATCTCCATGGAGTTGCGAAAACATGGAAACAGAAAGAAAATTTGCTTAAAGGCGGTCATCCCAGCATTGACTCAATTCTAACTACTCCTTCAATTCAGGCGATTCGGCGAAAATTGGAGGCCGACCTCAACAAGAAGCGCCAACACACGACCAGAGCAAACCGTTCTCGCAAAGCTCCTCCCGGCACCGTTCTTGCCTTGAAACCCAGCCAGGCCCTGCAGATTAAGCCCAACACTACCATTGCGGAAGCCGCCCAGTTGATGGCCGCTAAGAGAGAAGACTGCGTACTGGTTACCGACGATGATGACCGTATCTCTGGTATCTTCACCGCGAAGGATCTTGCTTTCCGGGTGGTGGGAGCAGGCCACAAGGCGCGTGAAGTCACGGTGGCTGAGATCATGACCAAGAACCCTCTTTGCGCTAGGACCGACACAAGCGCCACCGATGCTCTCGATCTGATGGTGCGCAAGGGATTCCGCCATTTGCCCGTCATGGATGAGAATCAGGACATCTCCGGTGTGCTTGATATTACGAAATGCTTCTACGATGCGATGGAGAAACTGGAGCGTGCCTACAGCTCTTCCCGCAAACTCTACGACGCCTTGGAAGGTGTCCAGACCGAACTCGGCTCCAGCCAGCCCCAGCAAATCATCCAGTACGTTGAAGCTTTGCGGCATAAGATGTCCGGCCCGACGCTGGAATCTGTCCTAGATGGCATGCCCCCGACCACCGTCTCTGTCCGCACCACCGTCAAGGAAGCGGCTGCTTTGATGAAAGAGCACCACACCACCGCCCTTCTCGTACAAGACCAGGGCTCCATCACAGGCATCTTCACCAGCAAGGATATCGTACTGCGTGTCATTGCTCCGGGTCTTGACCCCGCCACTTGCAGCGTTGTTCGCGTTATGACACCTCACCCGGATTTTGCCCCCAGCGACATGAGTATCCAAGCTGCGCTTCGGAAAATGCACGGTTGGTACTCCAGCTTGAGATTAAGTTACAGAGCAGGGCTAACAGCAGAGATCTCTAGACGGACACTACCTGAACCTGCCTGTGATGAACGATGCAGGGGAGATTGTGGGTATGGTGGACGTGCTCAAGTTGACATATGCGACTCTGGAACAGGTCAGTATAAATTCAAGCTTTCAACAGTACCGACTCTAATATCCCAGTCAGATCAATACCATGTCATCACAGGATGATGAGGGGCCCGCATGGAACAAGTTCTGGCTCTCAATGGATCACGAGTCCGACTCAATGGTCTCAGGAAGCCAGCAGCCCGCTCAGCGGTCAGTGATCAGCCCCGAGTCACCCAAGGCTAGTTATGACGCTCGAGACAGCGTTCTCCCCAACGAATCTGCTTCCCACCACGGCGGGGATGAGCATTCGGAATATGCAGAGCCGCACCATGCCGAACACATCTCGTTTCCGTTCAAGTTCAAGGCTCCAAGTGGACGAGTACACCGCGTTAATGTTCTTCCTGCCGCCGGTGTCGCTGAGTTGGTCGCTCAAGTATCGGCCAAATTGGGTCCTGAGGTAGAGGCCGTCGGCGGTGCTCCAATCAGCGAAGATGGCAAGCTCAGCAACACGGGCTATGCTCTCAGTTATATGGACAACGAAGGCGACACCGTTTCAATCACCACAGATCAGGATCTGTCTGATGCTGTGAGTCTCGCGCGTCTGTCGCATAGAGACAAGGTCGATCTGTTCGTGCACGATCCCAGCCAGCCTCCGATTCCCGCTACGTTGGATCCTCAACCGGCTCCGGCCCGTCCTGTCGAGGAGAAGAGTGTGATCTCTGAGGAACGATCCGAGGAGGAGGTGGTAGTGGCCAAGCCCCTCCGGGCTCAGTCCTTCCCTGCGCATCACGCTGAGGAGCAGTTCATTGCCGGAGTGCCCAACGAGCTACTGTTGCCTGGAGCGATTGTGACCTTGGCCGCGGTGATTGCGGGTGTATTCATCCTGGGCCGGGCTACTTCCCGGTAAACTCCAAGGTCATGGTCGCGTACGAAGATAGAAAGCTATATGTAATTATGTCTCTTTACTTTCCTGTCCGTTTACTGTTTGTCATAGCCCATCTCGTATCTGTGTAACTCTATTGGCGATCTTTCTGGAGTTTTCTCTCTAACTTTCTCTTCCTGTTTCAACATGTCTTATATAGAGGGTATTGTCTGACGCGATGGTACCCTGGTCAAAGTGCGTAAGGTTAGAATTCCTGATTCACGTCCGCATGTGGAATTTCTTTGGGTTGAGGAAGATTTTACAAGCGATTTGAATAGAATCAAGACAAAGACGAGAAGCGGCTTAAATCATTGTCTGGACATCTGTAAGGTAGTGTGCCTGCCTGAATGGGCAGATCCATGCCTGGGGAATGTGGCTTAATTAGTCCGGACTAGGACTAGTGGGGATGACAGTCCGCTGTATTGTATCCTGTATTGTTTGCTCTTTTCATTCTTTACGACTGCAATAGTGGCTGAATGAGCCAATTGGATACGCAGCCAATACCATTTGTACTCTTTTTTCCCCCTCTCTCAGCTCTGCTCTTTCTTCACTTTACCCATCCAAACCTCTTTCTTGTCTAAGGCTTTCTTCTTTCCCTTTCAACTTCCCCCTCTTCTTCTTCCTCTCCTTCTCTTCCTCTTCCTCTTCCTCCGTTGCTCGGTGTCCGCCTGCCGTTTTCTGGATCCGGCTGCCATGCTGAGTTGCGCTTCTCTTTTTTAATTCTCCCAGAATTAGTTGTCAGTCCACGATCTTTGGTTGAAGGCTTCTCCGACCGCCTTCCCTCCACTCGACTTGTCACGAACTTTTTTTTCGCTGGCCCCCCCCCCACCAAAAACAATATTTCCCAGCGCGCCTAAACAACCTCCTTCCTTCCCACCTTAACCCACCCCCCACCGACACTACACCCCCCGGGTTCAAGCGCTGAACCCGCGTTTTTCTATACTTCAATCTAAGCAGTTTTGGCGGGTTAACTGTCTAGATTGAACCTAGTCCGTTAAAATGTCATTGCTCCCTCCCGAGGTCCACTCGGCTCTCTCGCAGCTGTTGCGCGCCCTGTCTACCCCCGACAATGCGGTCCGTACCCAGGCGGAAGAACAGTTGAACAATGATTGGATTCAGAACCGCCCTGATGTTCTGCTCATGGGCTTAGCGGAGCAGATTCAGGGTGCGGAGGATGTCTTGGTAGGTGTTGTGCTCTCCGGAACAAAGAATATAACGAACGGGTGGGCGGGATGGATGTGTCTCCATCCGGCCAGATCGTGTGTTCAGCCATGCGATCTATCGGTTCCAAATGCTCATCGTTCGTCTTCTATAGACCCGCTCCTTCTCCGCTGTTCTGTTCAGAAGAATGGCCACCAAGACCCGCAAAGACCCCATTTCCAACGAGGCCAAGGAGCTCTTCTCGACCCTTACCGGAGAACAAAGATTGATCATCCGGCAAAAGCTGGTGACTTGCCTGACAAGCGAATCCGTCACCGACGTCCGCAAGAAGATTGGAGATGCCGTGGCTGAGATCGCCAGACAGTACACCGATAACGGTATGCACAGTGTTAGATGGCAGACGGTCTTGTTTACGTGCTGACAACGGTGTGCAGGCGACCAATGGCCCGAATTGCTGGGAGTCCTTTTCCAGGCTAGTCAGTCCCCCGAGGCTGGTCTGCGTGAGGCCGCTTTCCGTATCTTCTCGACCACTCCCGGAATTATCGAAAAGTCTCACGAGGATGCCGTGGTTGGTGTCTTCAGCAAGGGCTTCAAGGATGACGTTGTTTCTGTATGTTTTCCGCTGGAAATTTTTGGGATGGAGTATTGACCAGGGGTATAGGTGCGCATTGCAGCCATGGAGGCCTTCGCCTCGTTCTTCCGCTCGATCTCCAAGAAGTCGCAACCCAAGTTCTTCCCGCTCATGCCCGACTTGCTCAACATCTTGCCCCCGCTCAAGGAGTCGTCTGAGAGTGACGAGCTCTCTTCTGCCTTCTTGGCGCTCATTGAGTTGGCCGAAATCTGCCCCAAGATGTTCAAGACCATGTTCAACAACTTGGTCACCTTCAGTATCAGTGTGATTGCCGATAAGGATCTCAGTGATCAAGTCCGTCAAAATGCCTTGGAACTGATGGCCACTTTTGCCGACTATGCTCCCTCAATGTGCAAGAAGAACCCCGAGTTCGCCCAGCAGATGGTCACTCAATGTCTGAGCTTGATGACCGACATCGGTATTGATGACGATGATGCTGAAGAATGGAACGCTTCTGAGGATGTGAGTTGATTTGAGCGCTGCTTCGCGAAGAGTTTGGACCAACACTGACCTTATCAGCTTGACCTGGAGGAGAGCGACCTCAACCACGTTGCCGGTGAACAGTGCATGGATCGGCTGGCCAACAAGCTCGGAGGCCAGGTTATCTTGCCCGCTACATTTGCCTGGATTCCTCGTATGATGTCCTCCTCTGCTTGGCGCGATCGCCATGCGGCGCTCATGGCCATTTCTGCCATCTCGGAAGGTTGCCGCGACTTGATGGTTGGTGAACTTGACCAGGTTCTTCAGTTGGTCGTCCCCGCTCTTCAGGACCCCCACCCGCGCGTGCGGTACGCGGGCTGCAATGCCTTGGGTCAAATGAGCACAGACTTTGCTGGCACCATGCAAGAGAAGTACCATTCTGTGGTGCTTACCAACATCATTCCCGTACTCGACAGCACTGAGCCTCGCGTTCAGGCTCACGCCGCTGCAGCCCTGGTAAACTTCTGCGAAGAGGCCGAGAGGAAGATCCTTGAGCCCTACTTGGCTGAGCTTCTGCGTCACCTCCTCCAGCTGCTGCGCAGCCCTAAGCGCTACGTGCAGGAACAGGCTCTGTCTACCATCGCTACCATCGCCGATTCCGCCGAGAACGCTTTCGATCAATACTACGATACCCTGATGCCATTGTTGTTTAACGTTCTGAAGGAAGAGCAATCCAAGGAGTATCGCCTGCTCCGTGCCAAGGCCATGGAGTGTGCCACCCTCATTGCTCTGGCTGTTGGCAAGGAAAAGATGGGTCAAGATGCTCTGAACCTGGTACAGCTGCTGGGCAACATTCAGGCCAACATCGTCGACGCAGATGATCCGCAATCGCAGTACTTGCTCCACTGCTGGGGTCGCATGTGCCGGGTGTTGGGACAGGACTTCGTCCCCTATCTTCCGGGTGTGATGCCGCCTTTGTTGAGTGTTGCGGCCGCCAAGGCTGACATCCAGTTGCTCGATGACGAGGATCAGATTGACCAAGTCGATCAGGATGAGGGCTGGGAGCTGGTGCCTCTCAAGGGCAAGATCATCGGTATCAAGACCAGCGCGCTGGAGGACAAGAACACTGCAATTGAGCTGATCACCATCTACGCTCAGATCTTGGAGGGTGCCTTCGAGCCCTACGTGTTGGACACGATGGAGAAGATCGCCGTTCCAGGCCTTGCATTCTTCTTCCATGATCCTGTGCGGGTGTCGTCGGCTAAGCTCATTCCTCAGCTGCTAAACTCCTACAAGAAGGCCCACGGCGAACAGTCTGCAGGGTTCGCTGGCATCTGGAATAAGGTTGCTGAGAAGATCATCGAGGTTCTGAGCGCCGAGCCCACCGTGGACACCCTCGCTGAGATGTACCAGTGCTTCTACGAGTCGGTGGAAGTTGTTGGCCAGAACTGCCTCACCCAGCAGCACATGCAGGCATTCATTGAGTCGTCCAAGTCGACGCTAGAGGATTACCAGGTCCGTGTCAAGGCCCGCTTGGAAGATCGCGCCGACGCCGATGACGGCGAGGACGACAACCTGGATTATGAGTACGCCATCGAGGACGACCAGAACCTGCTTAGTGACATGAACAAGGCCTTCCACACCATTTTCAAGAACCAGGGCACGACATTCCTGCCTGCTTGGGAACAGCTTATGCCTTTCTACGATGCGTTCATCACCAGCCAAGACCCGACCCAGCGTCAATGGGCTCTGTGCATTATGGACGATGTCCTGGAGTTCTGCGGTCAGGAGTCTTGGAAGTACAAGGATCACATCATGCAGCCTCTGGCGGCCGGTCTGCAGGATTCCAACGCTGCTAACCGACAGGCTGCGGCGTACGGTGTGGGTGTTGCGGCGCAGAAGGGCGGCGCAGCCTGGAGCGACTTTGTGGCGGCCAGCATCCCTAGCCTGCTGCAGGTGACGCAAATCAACCAGGCGCGTACGGAAGAGCACGTGTTTGCAACGGAGAATGCATCGGCCAGTATCGCCAAGATTCTGCACTACAACTCGAGCAAGGTCCAGAACGCCCAGGAGGTTGTGGCTACGTGGTTGACCACTTTGCCGATTACATTCGATGAGGAGGCCGCTCCTTATGCCTATTCTTTCCTTGCCCAGCTCATTGACCAGTAAGTTTCGCCGTTCGAGCAGTGCAGTGCTTAGATGCTAATGAGATACAGACAAAACCCGGCCGTGCTGTCGAACGCCGACAAGGTGTTTGGATACATTGTGCAGGCATTAGAGGCGGAGACTCTGCAGGGCCAGACAGCTGGTCGGGTGGCAAACTCGGCGAAGCAGTTGGTGGCCACGACGGGCTTGAACGCGGATCAGATCCTGGCCGGGGTGAATCCGGATAACCAGGCGGCGATTCGCAGTTATTTCAACTGATTTTTCTTCGATATCATTATGAGTTGATGTTATGGCTATGGAAATACCGGGTTCTTTTTTTTTTTTTTTTGTTACTTTGTACAGCGATACAGGTGCTTGATGCTTTGCGTAGGTAGTAGGAAGGAGCTACGTACTAGTTATAATTGAGCTAGAGATCTATTATGTCTTGTCGTGTCCGGGTGGACTGGGGTACTGGTGATGAGGATTCTGTCGTAGCTCGCCGCAAGGCCCGTCTTTCGATATATAGATATAGTTTAGTACAGTACCCGCCCGTCTTCGTCACGTCACGTCACTGCACCACCATCTCCAAGATCTCCAGCACCTGGCTCTTCTCCTTCAAGGGCACGGGGTTCGTCTGGCACCACCGATCGTGCAGACTATTCTCGGCCAGGCTGTCCAGCTTATCCCGGCCGACGCCAACCTCCCGGAGGGAGCGGGGCATGCCCAGCTCGCGGATGACCGCATCCAGCACATCGCCCAGGTCCACCTGGTCCAGATCCTCCTTCCCCTGGCGGCGCAAGACATCCACCACCTCGGCCCGCTTGACGAGGAACTGTTTCAGCTTCTCCTGCCGGTCCCGATTCGCCCCGTGCGCCGCATTATACTTGCAGACGGCGGGCAGCAGGATACAGGAGGTTTCGCCATGACCGACGCCGAGGGGACCTAACTAGAAGACGTTCGGGGGGGAACACACATCGCCCCTGGCGTTAGCTTTTCCGTCTAGGTCTCCTTGCGCCCAATTACATCCAATGTTCTACCAATCCACCCGATCGACCACAACCAAATCTCAGGGTATAAGGAGGGGGAGGAGTGCAGCAAGCAAGCAGGACCGGTTGAGGTTCTGTGTTTATGTTTACGTCTAGGGTAGAAGAACATCACACAACATACCTGGTGGCCGATGCCATGACTCGCCCCCAGCTGCAGCGCGCCCTGCTCGGCCGTCACGGCCGCCATGGCATCCACCGAGCCGAGCTGGCAGTTCAGGCGCGCGGCGACGTCCGCGGGGTCGCGGGCCGTGCGGATCAGCCCGGGCACCAGCAGGCCCAGCGCGTGCAGGGAGAGCTGGTCCGTCTCGGTGGTGGTGGTGCCCCGCGCGGCGCAGTACGTCTCGACGCCGTGGTCGACGGCGCGCACCCCCGTCGACAGCCAGACGCGCGCCGGCGTCGTCGTCGTCAGCCCCGGGTCCAGGATCACCAGCCCCGGGCCCCGGATCGGGGACTGGAAGCTGTGCTTGCGGCGCGTCGTGTCGTGCGTCGCGCCCGCGAACGAGCTGTATTCCCCGGCGGATAGGGAGGTCGGGATCGAGATGATTGGGATCGAGGGCGGGTGGAGGTCGGCGGATTGGGAGGGTCCCGTTGGCAGGGCGGCGAGGGCCGTCATTGTGGTTGCGTTGTTGGCGAGGGCCTTTTTTGTTGCTGGTCAGTTAGGTATTGAGTTGTGGTGGTGGTGGTGGTGAGTTCAATGTGTATGTATATGGTGGGTGGATGGGGCTCGGCTGGCTAGATCATAGTATACTGTACATATAGATAGGACCGGACAGCCAGTTTGTCCTGTCTGTACATTATGTGTATTCTCCTCTGGGGATTGGAGGTTTTGTAGAGGGGTCAGGCTAGTATGGAGAACGATCGGGAGACTCACCAACGCAACCACTTTGGCTGCATCTGTCAGGCTGCCAGCCCCCAGAGTGATCAAGCAATCGGCCTCGACTTCTCTCGCGGCGTTCGCAACCTCCAAGACCTCGGACCACAGCGTGTGGCTCTGCATGCCAATCCGTTTCCCAACTACTTTCTTCTCGCCGATTGCGGCGACCAGTCGGTCCAGCGCATTGGTGTTGCGGGCTAGGGATCCGGAGCAGATGATGTAGACTCGGGAGGCGTGGAAAAGGTCGTCAACGTGCAGGGCGGCGGCGGCGGGGAAGGGAATCCCGTAGGAGAGCAACGGCCGCGGGCGGTCGACGAAGGCGGGGCGGAGGGTTTCTGTCATGTTTGTTAGTGGTAGTATAGCAAGGAGTATGGAGTACGAAGAAGAATTGGGGAGATGTTGAAGGGCAGGGGAATTATTTACTGGACTTACATACTCGTAGTATGAGCAAGCATGTGGAAGTGGGGCTGACATCAACAACAAGAAGAGCAAGAGCGGGGTGGAGCGGAAATGATGTAATCAGCACAGTATAAGTTAAGATAACTACGAAGTTAAACTTCAAACTACTCACACATCGGCCAGGAACCATAGAAACATTGTTGAACTCATCGTCAGTACGCCAAACACCTCAGGTCAAAAGTCCACCACCCGTTCCTTCTCGCACATTAAGTCAATCAGTAGTCAAGTGAGCCCCTGCCCCGCCATTAGTTAAGAACTACACATAAAGAATAGCAACAGCGTAAACAGCAACAACGACAAATTAATCAGTACAACACTATCTCCATCTCCATCTCATGCAGACTTCTCCTCATCGGTCACAGCTGCCCGCAATTCCCACACAATATCATAGCATTCCGCCAACAAAGCATTCACACTGCCCTGTCCTTCGGGGATATCGGTTCCCACGTAGAATTTGCCGTCCACCCGCATGTTGTCAATCGAGTTCAACTGTCACATCGGTCAGCTTGAACAGTACCAGCCACATCGGGAAATACACGCCTTCATGCTGTAGGGGTAAAGCTCGCGCGAGTTAGACACGCCCCCGGACTCCTGCACCTCCAGCAGGCATTTGCGCAGCGTCTGTAGCTGATTGTACACCGGCAGCAAAGCCTCCGAAACTGGTTCGGATGAGATCAACAGGGAATAGATGTATCCGTAGCTTCGTCGGATCAGATAGAGCAAAGTCTGTAACCACCCACCAGTCAGCGCACGTCACATATCCTCGTCTCACAGCACACCTACCCTCTGCGCATGGACATCCGCTACGTTCCCCTCATTGTCGACGAAATTCCCATTGACCCGTGCTTCATCGATGCGATCGAGTTTCCGCTGGTAGCCGAAGAGATCCGTCTCGCGGAGAGACCACGCTTGTGTGACGGAAAGCCGATCCAGCTGGTTTTTGATATCGATCAACCGGTCGTATTGGTCTTGGAAGCGCTCATCAATCTTGCCTTCCCTACGATAGAGTCAGCGACTGGCTTTTCGGACATGCAAGTGAGTAGCGTCAACATACCGTTCCAGAACAATCTCCGTCCAACGCCAGCACCGTTCCAGTAGTGTCTTGGTCGCGTCCTGGGCCCCAGGCAGAGGTACACCGTCTGCATCAACAAACTGTCCGTCCTTCATGCTCGCTTGGACTTTCTTCAACTGCTCGCGCAGGTTGTTGACCTCCGAAGCCGAGAACTGGGTGGTCAGGTTAGCGGGCTTCTGCGACACCCCTGAGAAGTCCTACCTTCGACCGAGTGTTGACGGCGGAGGTTGACCGCAGAACCGACACCAGCGTCTCATGGATTGATGCCAAGCCCGGACTCAGTTTGGCGAGTCCACTCTGTAGCTTCTCGAGCTGCAATTGGCACTTCTCCAGGCGACTTTCCAGGAGCGTAATCAGGGCAGGCGAGTACGCATCGCGACAGCGCTCGAGGGTCTCATTCGTGTTGGCGAGAGTCTTGGTGATCGAGCTCAGGTCTTTCGCGCTGTAGAAGCCGGCTTCTTCGAGGTGGTCGAGGAGTCGCTAAAGTAGGGGGAGGTGTTAGACCGGTGGCCGGGAAACGAACCACAAACCAGCACAACCACATACCTGCACCGTGGTCGCAAGAGAGTATCTGCACGCGCGATAAGAGTCAGATGACGGCGGACAGGGCAGTTGGGCGATCAATCAATGGAGAAACCTACAGCGCCGGAGCTTCATTGTTTCTCCCCACCGTCAAGAACAGCAAGGAGATCAACTGGAAACAATCGTCGAGGACATAATCCACTAGATCCGAGCCAGAAAAGGAGAAAGGTCAGCGACACCATCGCACATCGAATCTTCATGCACAGGCCCACTCAGTGCTAACGTCGGTTATGTGTCAGCCGGCGGTCTTCCTCCTTCCGAACGGCATTGAGCTTCTCCACCTCGGCAATGACCTCTTCGTACATCGGGAGCACGTCGCGGGATTTGATGTAGGTGGACTTGTCTTGTTTGAGGAGGAGGAGCGCATCGCGGGTGCGCAGGAGGCGCTCGAGGATGGGTTGCTCCTTGGGATTTAGCGGAGCGGGGACCGCGGGGGAGTCCATGATGTGCGAAGGTGTAGATCAAAGGTGGGGGAGGGAAAGGGAAGGAGATGAGGTGTCTGTATGAAATCAAATGCGCCGAGAGAGTGTGAGAACCAGGGGCGCGATCAAGGCAAATTCAGCTTTGGTCTGGAATAAAGACCCGGGCAGCATCAGATGAGGTGATGAACGGGAGTAAGTACAGTACAGTAACATAAGTTAAGTAAGTAGATTAGATGATGATGGCATCGCCGAGCGGCATGTCCTTATCGGGACTAGAGTGGAAGTCACGGGTGCTCGGGGGGAGGAGGGAGGAGGAAGGCACTAAACCCCAATGGGAACAGCCCTAAGCGAGGGCTTTGACGCGGCGGAAACACACAACTTCCACTTCCGTAGTGGGTGAAGCGTTAGTCACTCACAGTCCGACTCCCCTTCTCGACCAGGCCAGTTACAAAAAAGTCCCCTTCGTCCTTTTTTCCTCTTCCCCTAATCCCCATCCCTCTCGAGACTCCAGTCCAGTCCAACCTCCCGTCGACCATCATGTCTACTGCTGAGCTCGCTTGCTCCTACGCGGCCCTCATCCTCGCCGATGACGGCGTCGAGGTCACCGTACGTATCCCCCATTGTCCTTGATTGACAGTTGAACTTGGTTATGATTGTGCTGGGTATCTATCTGGACGGACCCTCCCCCTTGGTCGCATGGAAACGGTGCTGGGAAAATTGGAAAGGCGACAAGCCGAAGGACGAGGTCGCGGAGAAGTCAAGAGAAGGAAAAATTGAAGGTTGTCGACACAGCGATGGGAAATTTTCACACAATCTTCACATACACACACAAAACTGCGACACGGCTCAAAACTCGACTGGGGAAGGGGAGGGAAATCCGGACATCTCGCGCATGATTTTTTTCCAAGGAACAGGGGAACAATCAAAGCTGACCAGGCCTTATTTTTATTTACACAGGCCGACAAGCTCCAGACCCTCATCTCTGCCGCCAAGGTTCCCGAGATCGAGCCCATCTGGACTTCCATCTTCGCCAAGGTAAATACACCTAATTGATCCGTGCATTCCTCTTTCTACAATCACTGCCGCAACCTACGCAATTTCTCCTCCACCAATCGCCACGACCTCGATCGAAACATCTCTATATCAGAATCAGACACTCACCACTGGTTTTATTATCTACAGGCTCTCGAGGGCAAGGACATCAAGGATCTCCTGACCAACGTTGGCTCCGGTGGTCCCGCTGCTGCCGCCCCCGCTGCTGCTGCCGGTGGCGCCGCTGCCCCCGCCGAGGCTGCTGAGGAGAAGGAGGAGGGTATGTTCTCCATCGTCCACCACCCGATCCGCACTTGTGCTAGGAGCCGCTGGCTAATACATCCCCCACAGAGAAGGAGGAGTCCGACGAGGACATGGGCTTCGGTCTCTTCGACTAAATGTCCTAAATCCTTTGTTCCTTGGATCTGGATTCCCCATGATTTCCTTTTTGCTTCCTCGTTTCCTATCTTCTTCTCTCTCCCTCGCGCCCCCCCGCATCTCCTGTACCTAACACTACTCGACCACACGAAGATCAAAATGGGAAAATTAAAAGAACGAATCAAACGGACACTGGCGATCCGGTGGGACTGGGCGCTCCGGCTTGCATGATGGGCTTTCGACGTGACAAGAGAGGTACTGGGCCCGGATGACGCTAGGATTCCGGGCCCCCCGTTGGGATCTAGTCAAAAACAGTTCGGTGTACGGAGGGCTGATTCCGTACTCGGTTTTTGATTTCTATGTCGTGTTATGCTTGTTGCTAGCTACGTTTCGAGCTTAGGTGCCCAGCTCTCCTGCAATGTCTGTCATGCGACCATGAGCAAAACCTTCGTCCCCGGATTGTATTGGTAGATTGTAATAAACCCATCTTTAGAGTCTGTAGATCAGAAGTCTAGACGCCACTAGCGCTACGCCTCCATACCGAAATGGAACATGCATGTGTTAGTCCCACGCATTATCCCCTGCTTGTAATGGTCATAAGTTACAGGATGTCTGTGAGATGAATATACAAGTTGAAGCAGTCGCAAGGAAAGACAAGCAAAAACTTTTCAGAAGCATCAACCGCCCCAGCGCAACACCCGCCCAATACAGAATAAAAGCACAACAACCCCAACCTGCCAGCTCAGAGAATAAGACACGCTAAACCACCCGCATGGTTTTAATCAAGCAAAATCAGATGTACAAGAAAACATTATAGCGTATCCTCAGGGTCATGGACAGCATATAGCCGAAATTGGATGAATATCGTCACATCCTCGATCATTGTGCCCAGGGAGCCAATCAGCCATGGCACGTTGGTGATGATATAGTTCCGCTCCGTAGAGTGGCAGAGGATCTGTAGATGCCAACAGTCAGCCCATTGGCTCTGAGAATACTGTCCAGACTGGGACTTACCCCAGCGCCATAAGTCAGATTTCCCATGAGGGAAAGAATGAAGAATAGAAGTGAGAGTCCTGAATGTATGAAGTGTCAGCAAATCCGGACCCGGCCTCCGGCGGGGCGACACATGGTGACACATACCCTCGCATGACTTTTCGCAATAGTTCTTATAGATCTGCGGCAGACGCGCACTGTTGTTTGTTTGTTAGCAACCAAGTTTCCCCTCGCAGCGATAGAAAAAAGCCCCAACCGCCAACGCCATGAGTTTGCTGAATGCATATGAACTTACCCCAGGTAGCAAAGCGCGCTAATATATCCAAGCACCATCGCGCCCGGTGCCATGTCCACTCCACCATCGACCTCCTTGGGGGCCGGCTTCCAGACGCCCGTCTGCCAGGCCATGGTCCAGCCCGCCATGCCGATGACGCAGATGGCCAGCACGCTGCTGAAGTTCTTGACCCACGCCTTGCGACCGACGTCATTCTCCTCGACAATCTTCGCGAGGGTGTCTTCCGGCCCCGACGCAATGCCTTGCACATAACCCTCCGCCCGGCGCGCAGCCGGACGATGGTGCTCGACCGCGTCGCTGAACCGTCGGCCCAGCAGGGGCGTGACCGTGTCCGGGGTTTCCACGGAGGAACGTCTCCGACGATGGCGCGCCGCGGCTTGGCGCGAGTTGCGGGCCTTATAGTACAGACATTGGCTGATGAGGACGCCGTCCGCGATGCAGAAGTAGACGGCAATGGCGACAATGACGGGGACTAGGCCAGCCCAGGCGCCGCCGATGAGGTTGGTGATGTCGCCGACGAACCAGACGAAGAGGAAGAGGAGGGAGATGGCTTCGGCGTTACCGTTGCGGTAATTCTCGATGAGCTGAGGAACCTATTGCACATTCTCCAATCAGCATCTCTTGCTTCACGCAGATACACCCAGTCCGGTGGGTACAGGGTCATTCATACAAGAAGGAAAATCCAGCAGGTGAGCGAAATGGAGCCAAGCAGTCCCGACGCTGCTTCGCGCGACGTCAAAGATGCGGATTCGGCCATGGGGACGATGCCGTCGCCTGACAACGGTATCGCCATGTCGAGGGCCTGAGGTCGTGTGAGAGGGGAAAGGGGGGCCGACTTGGGTCAAATCGCAGGCAGTCAATCTGTGAACGGTGAGAGAGAGAGATAAGGGATCGGGTCGTCGGAGAGAATTGCGGTGACAGCGGCTACGATAGGGTTCCTCGGTGGTCAGAGCGCATGAAGTGCGAGGGCAAAGAATGAGACCGCACAGTCGGAATTTCCACTGAAGGGATTGAAGAGTTTGAAAGGTAGGTGGTCAGGTACTGGTGAGAAAGGGAAAGGGAAAGGGAGAGAGGAACAAAAGAACATGCAGAAGAACCTAGCGAAGGACGCAGCTAAATTAGTACGTCGAGTCTTTTTCCTTCCTTTCATTGACTGATTGACTCACGGGATCGATCGATGACGGATGGGCGGCCAGTTGTCTGACTAAGCCCGCGCTCCGCATGTCATCATCTTCGGCTGTTTTCCCACTCGTCCTGCTTCTTATCTATAACTAGTACTACTGCAAGTGCATCCGGTTTATTCGCGACGATGTCGTTGAGCGTCCACGGTGGCTTGTCTTATCCTGCGCCTTGCTTACGGTGAGACAAGGTGGGCATTCTATACACTAATCGTCTAATGATAGGCTCACAGGCAAGGGTCCAATCCTGTTCGACTTGCCATCAATATATTTTTTGGGTGATATAGATCTACATACATCATGGCTTGATGTCTATCTGCTTCACCCTCTGGCCTGATTCCCTGATTCGTAAATACTAGTCATGATAGCTCTACACATAAATTCAAGTAGCCCTCAGGGTATCAAACGTCCTCCTCGTCATCGTACCGAAGCAGCTGCAATTCATCCTCCAGCATGACAGCCGTCAGCTCACCCATCGCCTCGCGAATAGGGCCTGCCAATAAGGTATCGCGTGCCGACTCGGGCTGAACAGAGTCCAACCCATCCACATACTCAGTCAGAGGGGAATAGTCCACGACGTCCCCCCAGTTCCCCCGGTCCACACCGTACTGCTGAAGGAACGCCTGAAGCGCATGCATGCCGTCGCCCAGGAGCCATTGCTCCAGGAGTGGTTGCTGGTCCGCACTGGGTGGCCCACGTGCATTGGTCGTCTCGCCGCCGCCGCTCGATGCGTCCTCGTCCCCGATTGTCTCGTCGCCCGCGTCGCTATCACGGTTGAACCCGGGGAATTGGATCCCACCGTTGTTGAGCTGGTCGAGAAGATCCCGAAGCCACTGCGGTCGGTTCGCAGCCGGAGTTTGTGCCAGGTAAGAGGGAGCAGGATCGGACTGTTGGCGATGAGCCTCCGACTCATGCGGGGGAAGAGGGTCAGACGCCGAAATCCTGCCAGAGATGAATCGCCCCGGAAGGAAGGTCGTGACCTTTGGGATATCAGAAAGCACGACGTGGCGCGCAATGTCCAGCGTGATTGCCGGCGGTTCGACCGGCTCCTCTTCATCCGACAGAGTGTCAGCCACTTCCACGATCAAGGAGACCGCTTCCGGCGTGTTCCACAGATCCTTGGCCCGAGAGATGTAAAGCTCGGTGAGCAATTCGTGGGCGGTGGTAGGAGGCATCTTGCCCCAGATGCGCTTGGGCATGGGCTGGATGTCCAATTCCTGCGCGAGCTTGCAGAATACCCACGGGTAGCGGGACATGGCTCGGCGGAGCTGTTCGCGGCACTCCTTCGGCTTGTTCAGTCGCAGGTATGCCAGGGCGAGCGAGCACTGGATGTTGGGAAGAGTCTCCCACTCCTTGCTCAGCCGGGTCTGTGTGCATAGCTCGACAAAGTGGGAGTATTCTCGACCACGAAGGGCCAAGTGATCGATCAACAGGCGCATGCAGTACGGATCACTCTCATTGAGGCTCAGAAGCAACTTCGCCCACTCATACGCCGTCCGCCACGTTCCCTTCATCCCCAAATTCGCAATATACCGCCACCCGACGAGCCAGAGTTCACGGTTGGCCTCCTGCACGAACTCCAGCTTCGCCCGTCCCTGCTTCAGCAGGTTGCCGAATGAGGAATGGGCCGAGCGCCCGATGTTGAAGAGCGCTCGCTCGAGCAGATCCGCGGAGACGGCGTGATCACCCTGATGCTTCGCGATCTCGGACACCTGGAGCAGAGTGGAGATGTGGTAGGGGTTGTATTGGAGGAGGTGAATCATGCGCTGGGGATCCATCGACTCCACGCAGATCTCAAACTGCCTCTGCACATCGGTGTACGCCGCATTGTGGAGGATCTTGTAGAGTGTATTGCCGTCCGCGCGTTTCTCGACCAGCTCCATGCCCAGCCCTCCGCTGGGCGCCCGGGGCCATTCATCCTTGCCTTGCATGAGGACATTGCGCCGCAGCGTCACGCCCGCCAGACTCTGGCCCCTGCTAGCAGGGCTATACCGGCCCGTCAAGGCCTGTCCCAAGTCCAGCGTCTCCGGTCCGCGTTCCCTCCGACGCCCGCCCGACCCAGTAGCGTCCTGATCGAAATTCTCCAGCACCACATTCCCAAACAACTTGCGCATCTCGTTCGTCGCATTGAGGTTCCGTGGATCGATCCCCAGTAGATCCTCTGGTGTTTTCGCAAACGAAGTATCACGTCCCGCTGTGGGGTGTTCGGGGTCAACCGCTAGTGCCTTGAGCGCGCGATCGATCTCGTCCTCGCCTGTCGTGACCGCGGCTGGTTTCCCTGCTTTGGCGGTCGTGGTGGTGGAGGCGTTGGCGGCGGCGGCGGTCGCCTTCCTTTTCTTGTTCTTGTTCTTCTTCTTATTCCTCTTCCCTGAGCCTGCGGGTTTCACGGTCCTGGGGGCTTCTCTTTCCTCTTGCTCTTCTTCTTCGTCTTCTTCCCCATCCGCCTTCGCTTCTTGCGCGGGCCGAGTCACCGGCTCAGGCACCTCAACTTCTTTCTCGGACTGTTCGTCGGCGTCGTTGTGGTCATCTTCATCGTCTTCCTCCTCGTCACCGTCACCAAAGGAGTTCAGAAGGTCGAAGGCGTTGAGTTTCGGTTTTGCGGGTCGCGAAACCAGCTCATCGTCACTGGAGCTATCATTCGCCTGCTCGGCTTGTATTTGTTGTTCGCGCTGCTTCTGCAGCTTGCGGATGGCACGAGAGGACATTCGAAGGAGTGTGGGACTGATTCTCGTGGGACAAGAAGGCAAGGGGAGATAGAGCTAATTGGTACTGGAGGAGGGGTTTGTGGTGTACGAAAAAGGAAGCAGGATAATTAATTCCGCGGGGCATGACGACACAGCCGAGAGGGGCTTGGCGGCGGATCTTTTGTTGCCAGCGACTCCGTATACTTACTTAACTCAACTCCCTTTTCGTGATAGGCCTACATACGGTATGTGCTCATACTCTCTTAGATGGACGAAAGATATATTTATATCATTTCACTATTTGCACTGAGGAGATATAAGCGCCATTGAGGTATGTATGCTTACAGAGCAGATCTCATATGGCCTAAGCGAACAGCAGGTGGTATGAAGATGCAACCATTATTGAGCCGCCACTTTGCTCTACCCCAGTCAGGCAGCACGCATCGCCAGCTTCATACAGGAAGCAAGTAACCTGACAACGAACTATCTGCTATCTGTCACCCTTAGTTTCCTTTCAAGTGCACCAACTTCTCAACCTCTTTGATCCACTTCAGAGAAAACTCCTCCTCGGTGAACCTAAGCGCAGACTCGCGCGCTCTCAGCCGCATCGCAACCTTCTCCTCTTCCGGGAGAGCCAAGGCGGCCTCAAACGCAGCGGCAAACTCGTCCTCCGTATTCGCCCGGAAACCCGTCGCGCCGTCGCCAAGGTCAACCACGATATCCTCACGAGGGCCGCCGGAGTCATGGACCACACTAATCAACCCCGCGGCCTGATACTCCACAACGCAAATGCCGAAGTGTTCGTTCCACATGGTATTGACACCGACGGAGGCGGATGCGAGATGCTCAAGAATGGTAGGCCAGCTGGCGTCGCAGAGAAATGTCGTGTTGTCGCGAATGCGCAGTTCGTGGGCGAGCAAGCGAAGGTTGTAGATATGAGTCTCATCAGGGGAGGCGTGGCGGACGGAGCCTATGAGAATAAGCTTAGGCTCCTTTCCAGACTCCGAAGAGACCTTGTTGCGGTAATTTTGGAGGAAGCGGGCGAAGGAGCGCAGAAGCAGAGGATGGTTCTTCTCCGGTCGGAACTGAGCGATGTAAAGAATCACGGGCTCCCGGGATTTCTCCGTTGCGGCATCGACGTGGATAGTGGATTCGAGTTCAGACACCGCGGTGGGCGGGAAAATGACAGTTGGTTCGTCGAAAGTGTTGGTCTTTCGGGAAGGACCCCAGAGGCTGCGGACATGGGCAGACGTCCAGGAGGAATTGCACATGACGACGTCAACGTGGCCGCCAACCCAGCCGTAGAGTTCGGCGAAAAGAATCCAGTACCTGCGCTTAACCTGGCCCCTGAGACCCTTTCCAGCGCCGGCGTTGATACCCTTGGTGCCAGTCTGGTCATCCAGAGAGCTAAGCATGTCGGTGGAGATGGTGGGGTAATGCACGTAGGCGCCAGTCGGGACGGAAGGAAAGAGTAGCTTGCTAAAGGCCAAGGTGAAGGCGTATCCCATGGTATCGACGAAGACATCCGGGACGAGTAGATTGAAAGCGTCGTAGGCAACAACTAGAGAGCCCAGGGACTGGCCCAGTAGAGTCATGTAGGGATACATGCTGCTAACCACGTATTTGCGGGTGGTCAGGTAAAGCAGCACGACCGTGGGGGCATGTAGGTGTATATTGAACCGGTTCTGATATGTTAAATTCCATGCAGTGCAGAGACAGAGACGAGACCCGACTTACTGCCACCCGTTCCAGCATGGCTGTCTTGTTGACCTCGTGATCGCCCGTGTAGATGGCGCAAATGGCCTTGGGCCAGCGCTTCTGGGTCGCTCTCACGGCTTCCCAGAGGACACGTTCGCCTCCACCTCCGGCGTTGCTACACGATGTTAGTTTATGAGAAGCATATTTTGGAGGGAGGATTCATACCAGAACGGGTGGAAGAACCCGATGATTCCATTCCAGTCATCGCTGGTACTGGTGCCAGCTGTTCCGGAACTGGCACTAGAAGAGGTATCGACCTTTTCCCAATCCTCATCGTCTGTGGATGCTGGTTTGGTAGATTTCTTTCTGGCGACCTCCTCCTCCTCGGCGCGGACGCGCGAAACGATGTACTCGCGACGAGACCTGGTTCGTTTCTGCACGGCCCATCCCACAGCACGGAGCACCAGGCGGAGAACGGCCAGGGGTAGCTGAGGCAAGAGAACGCAGGTGGCGAGGAGGGCGAGAAGGGTGATGAAGGACTTGAGTATGAGTAGCATCATGGTTCAGTGAGGGACGAACATGATAGAGGTAGAAAGGGATTGAAGGAAAGAGAGAAGGAAGTACTGTAAGTTGACAGCGTGGAGAAATACGTTAATAAGTTGCGAAGCAAGGTTAGTCTTGTTACGACTAAAAGGTGGATCTCAAGCAGTTCCCGCCGGCTGACGAGTCACAGGACCGATAAGATAGCTTCTGACCAGTTGGTCAGATGCTTATCGGCACGTGACTATGTCCGTCCTGTACAGTACTGTACTTACAGTCAACTCCGCGGCCATTTTCTACTCTTGAGTGGATCCATCCTATTTACAACTTCTCCAATCTTCTTCCCTCCCAGCATCCATTGTATGCTCCTCTTTCCCTTGTACATATTGCCCTTCTCTCCCTCCCCTGATATACAAACGTCAATCAACGAATCAAACCCAATTGACCTTCCATCCAACCGCAACCATGTACCACCGCGTGCGCCTAGCCCGGCCAACCCTCCTCCGCCGCGCAACAACGACAACGACAAGAGCACCACCATCCCGGCTTCAAACACGACACTTCCACCCCACACGACCGGCCCCCTTCCTCGCCGAGATCATGGACTCCTCATGGCTGGTCCATGGCGTCCACAACCTCTCCGGGCTCCCGTGGGCCTACTCGATCCCGCTCACCGCGTTCATCGTGCGAAGCTGCATCGCCCTCCCCATCCAAATCTACACCAAGCTGCAAGGGCGCCGCGAAAGAGCCGCGCAGCCCCTCCTCGCCTGCTGGCAGAGCTACTACCGGTCGAGCATCGGCGCGAAGCGGGAGCAACAGCAACTCCAAGCCCTCCAAGAACCAGGCGGGGGGGGCCGGCGCCGCCGCCAACCGTCGGTGCGGACGCAGACGGCGGTCGCGGTCGCGCGCCAGCGCAAGGCCCTGTTCCGCCGGCTGGGGATCAGCCGGTACTGGAAGGGGATGTTCCTGCTGCCGATCCCGGCGTGGCTGTCGGTGATGGAGACGATCCGGGCGATGGCCGGGTGCGAGAGCGGGCTGCTGGCCTGGCTGCTCCGGCTGGTCGGGTCTTCCACGGCCACGCGCGTCCCCGTCGAGCCCACGCTCGCGGTCGAGGGCGCGCTCTGGTTCCCCGACCTCCTGGCCGGCGACGCCACGGGCGTGCTCCCCGCCGTGCTCACCGCGTCCATCCTCCTGAACATCCACGTCGGCTGGAAGGTGCCCCGCCTGGCGGAGCTGGCCGACCTGCCGCGCGCCCAGCTGCCCAAGCACCTGTTCCTCCGCGCCCTCCGCACGTTCGCCCAGCTCATGGCGCTGAACGTCGGGCTGTCGACGTACCTCTACGAGACCCCCGCGGCCTTGTTGCTGTACTGGGCCACGAGCAGCAACATCGCCACGCTGCAGAATCGGGCGCTGGATCGCGTGATGGGGCTGGATGATGCGGCGAAGAAGGAGCCGTCGATGGGGAGCAAGGGTATGCTGATGCTTTACCGGACCCCGGTCAGGCAGGTCGAGGAAACCCAGAAGCAGGCTGGTGTTGTGGGGTGAAGAAGGGGCTGTATAGCCTTGGAATACCAGACTTCTTTCACCTGGTTTTCACCCATCTTATCGGCAAGAGTCGTCTGCGCTTTTGAACCCTTGTATAGGGATGGAATACGCATTGCAGCTGGTGCGGAATAGCTCGACAGTGCTGATGGGTAACTTTCACTAATCTCCGACGAATTGGGTGTTACGAAGGCTGCTTGCTCACTTGAGCAAGGCGAACATATGATAGAAGCCGAATATGTGGCCCCCCCGAGAGGCCGAACGCCTTTTCTAATGTGTATCAATCCCATCTCACTCCGCTCAGTCATGGTGTCCGGAGTTTGGGCGGTGCAAGTGAAGCGTCAAGGGCTGCAATCCCTTTATTTTGCAAGAACTCGAAGGCAGACCAAAACTGCTAGGAGCCGCCCAGGATGACTATGCTCCTTGGTTGAATCATCCTCTGCACCATGTGCATAATACTACTTGGAAGATGCTCAATAGTGTGGGTCATACCTGGATTATGAATGCAACATTTTAAGAACTTCATAGCATATCGTTCCCTTTAAGATGCTAGCCTTTATGTGTGAAAATGCATATTGAAACAAACTTTATCATCCCAGGCCCGCGGGAAGTAATGCCAAATAGATTCTGCATAGCAGAATCAATTAGTTCACCTAAAGAGCATCCTTGCAGTATCCAGTGTGTGAACCGAACGGAGTTTAACAAGAATGAAGTAGAGTGATGGAGAATAAGCCAGGGTCTATCCCATCCTTCCACACGATGGCTCCGACTGACTGTCTGTATGGTTGGCAAGGAGGCTCGCGTCAAATCTCGTGAGTTGCGGTGGTGGCTGCTTGAATCACAATTTCGCTTTGGGGGTCTCCTCGGATGCACTAGCCTCCTGGTTCACAGTGATTGTCCGGGTATCAGGGCCCTCGCCGAAGAAGATGACCTCGACGGTGACGTCGTCGCTGGAATCAAGCGGGTTAACATCAAACACGTCGAAGACGCACGCAGGAGGTACTTACCGGTATCGCCGAGAATAGGGGCTCGGAAGCGTCAGTAGAGCACAAACCATGTCCTTGTCCTTTCCGCCCATGGCATTCCGCACAAGATGGGTTGCCGCGTTGTTATCTTCCACGGTGAATCGGCTGGCCGCACCAGAGATATCATACTGCTGCTGGCGGATAGGACGGCGCTGACCTTCTGTGCCGGCCTCGGCGGTCGCTTCGACAGGGAGCTGTTTGTTTTCAAATCCAAACCAACTGCGCAACCAGGCCTTGCCGCTACCGGACTGCTGCTGCTGCTGCTTGTCAACCCACTCCCCTACCAACCCAACAACTTCCTCGTTACTCAGCATCTCCCAGAGACCGTCCGTTGCGAGCACGAGAAAGTCACCCCGACTAGGTTCAACCTTGGTTGTAGTGATGATGGGCTCGGCGGTGACATACGGAGGAGTCTTCAGCAGCGGATGAGGCGTGCGGCCGAAGAATTGCCGCTTGATCTTGTCCTGTGTCTCCTTGCTCCACTTGTAGAAGGCGTCGCCAAAGGATCGGCTAGGCTCTAGTTGACCGAGGATCCGGCCGTTGCGGACAACATTGGGTTCTCCCGGGTGTTCCTGACGGAGACGTTGCATCTCAGATGGAGTGCCGCCGGTCTGATCTTCAGAGAGCGCTGTCGCAGACCACTTTCCATTCGGGCCCCGACGACCCAGAACAGCCCGCGAATCACCGGCCACGGCAACCTTCAGATCCTTTGATTGAGAGTCGTAGAAAGCCAGCAGAGCACAAGAGCCGGAAAGAGCGGGAGCCAGCATCTCAGCCGCAACACGGCGGGAATTCGACTTCAACACCTTGTGGACGCTTTCGTACACGATATCATTATCGAGGCGAACAAACCCCTGTTTGATGGCAGCATCCACCGCTTCAGATGACGGAGTAAGGATTGATGGGTCCGCAGCTGCAGCTTTGTAGGTGGAGTTCAACTCCCGAGCAACATATGAAATGAGGACATTGCGCAGCTTAGCGGAAGTAGTCCAGCCACTGCCGGGAACCGTGAGCGTTTGCTAATCTGAGACAAGGGAGGAGAACTCACGAGTGACCATCGAATACGCCCCAGAACATCCAATCACTGTTGGCGTGACCTTCTTGAGCTGCCGCCACCGACGACGGCACCTCAACAACCTTCTCGGCATGATCATCCTCGATAGGAGAGTTACTGGGGACCTGAACTATGTCGTAACGTACCACACCCTGACCGCGATTCACCAGGTATGACTCCTCGTTCTTCCGCAGTTTCTGGGTCGCTTGTTCCGGAGTCAACATCTCGAGGACCCGACGGTCGGAATCGTCCGTGTGCTTCGAGAGGGGTTGTTCTCCAGATAGGGTAGCGGTATAGAACTGGTCGTTATCCACCAGGAGGGCACGGCGGGTGGTTTCCACGGGATCTTCAGCGTGAGCGCCGGCTGTGGAGGAAATCGAGCGGATCTGCGAGGCGGATGTTGTTCCGTTCAAGGCTGTTGTCGGCTGGGTACCGGCATTTCCTTGATATGCATACCAGGCCCCTGAGGCCACGACCGTGGAAATTACTGCCAGTGAGAAATTCCGGAGATGCATCGAAGATTGTAACGTTGCAGGAAGAAAGGGGGGATATCTGCCCGCAGAGGAGAAGGAGGATGGACGGATACTGAAATTGGGACTGCTGGAGAAGGACACCGCGCACGGTTTCCTACCAGCAGCCTTCCATCCTACTGGCACGCGACGGGCGGTACGGAGAGCGTGTAGAGCCGCGCGACGCATTTGATTGACAAACTGAGCGAGAAAGTGTAGACTGTAAATTCCGGGCTTTCTCCCTGTGTGATTCAAGAAAATTCGGAGAAAGCGAGAAACTACTCAGTAAAAAGTCAATACGTACTTTGAGGGGAAGGGAGAAAGGTGAGAAATGCGGAGAGAGACAGCAGAATGAGGGAAGGGAGAGGCAATTGCGTCATGTGATAGTGACCGACCGCCCTCTTTAACACGTTATCACCACGTTATCACCACGTTATCAATCAGTAAGTTACAGTACAGTACCCAATGATCACCTTCACCTTACTGTCACTAAACCACACCACAATTCATTGATCAGCCACAGAAAGATTTGTGTCTAAAGGTAATATGAATCCAAAATGTAAGTATGCGGGTAAGAAGAAAAGGGATATCCCAAAGAAAAACAAAATCCCAAAGTAAGAAATAGGAAATCAATGAATCAAGCATGCCCTTCCTATCAAGGACTTTCTGATATATCTCGCGCACAAATCCAACTGGTGCAGTTCCTATGGGTATGAAAAGCCAACAAAATCCTTCGTGGTCACATATACTAAAAAAGAAGAGAAAGATTCAAAAGGGGCAGGAAGATGAAAGAAAGAAAGAAAGTTGAAGAAGGGAAGAAAAAGTCCCACCGGCCGTCACCAGGAATCCGTCTGCCTTAGGAGGATCGCCTAGCCAAGTCCCAACGCCGAATCTCTTCTATCGCAAATCGCAACCATGACAAAATTGGTCCCTAGCTATTCGGTAAGAGATGGATCGGGGCCAAGCACTAAAACAAAGGAGCAAAGAACAGGGCCAAAGGCGGAAGAAGGTTTCAAGAATGTCAAGCCCTGCAGATATCAGGTTTGCAGAGAAAGGACTCATGTCCTCCAATCGGTCTCCTGGTAACTGGTCTCACCCGGGTTGATCCCAAGCATATGTCCCTGGCTATTCATGTCATAGATGCCCGCGCCACCCGTATAGCCTCCGCCGATGCCAGACACTGTACTCAGTCCCGACTCGTCATCTTCAAACCCAAATTCGCCGCCGGAGCTTGCATCAAAACTGCTGCGACCCCCAATGTCGCTGGGATCATCCGCCGTAGCAGGGATCTGATCCCATTGTAAAGTCTGCAAGGCTGGGTATTGGGCCAGCAAAGCGGCGGGGAGAACGAAAGCCCCGGTGGGTTGACCGTCCATGCCGGGAACCATCAACGGCGGAGGCATCGGCTGGAGATGCTGCTGCTGCTGATCCATAGCTGAGCGCTCTCGGTCTTGAGATTCCTCATCCAACAGGGGCTTGATGCAAATCCGACCAGCCTCCGATCGAAAATGGCGACCGAGAGCATCGGCACGTGCGAAGCGACGGCCACAGCCCCATTGACCACCTCGAGACAGCTCGCCTCGACAGACAAACTTCTTTTCCCCGGAATGGAGTCCTTCGTGTCGCTTACGATCATGCTGTCGCGCAAAGGCCTTCCCACATACTGTGCAGACAAATGGTCTCTCATCCGTGTGTGTTCGCAGGTGGGACCGAAGGTTGTACGCTCTGGTGAAGCGTTTGGGACATAGATGGCATTGGAATGTTGCGGGGTGTTTTTGAACTCGCTTCGAGTCGTTGAGATTAGCACCGGGACGCTGAGGATCAGCGAGTCCTAGAATGTAATTCCGACTATCAATAGATGAGGTCGATAAGCGACGACCTGACCGCGACGGTGACGGTTCTCGAGAACTGGGGTTGCTTTGAGGTTGGCGCCCAACCGAATCGAAGGGTGACAACGACCGCGGTGATGACACATTGAACGGCTCCAGGCTTGCCGAGGTCGAAGAGGAGCGCGCGCGCGAGGCTGGGTGAGCATAAGGATCTGATTTACTGCGCATACGAGATCCTAACGGCAAGTCACGTTAGCAGCAAGCAAAATGGGCCGGGCGGAAACGCTTACGGATAGCAACTGGTGGGCTTAAAGAGTCCAAATCTGCAGCGGGCTTCGACTGAGGTTGGTTCGAATTTTGAAACGGGGGTGCGAATTCAACATTGATGGAAGGAGGCGCCATTTGGGACGCCTGTCCCATGTCTCCAAGGCTAGTGTTTCCCTGGGCTGACAGACTGTCCGTGTACATGTCGGTTGGGGGAGTCGGGTACTGCGAATTCAGCGCGGGCGCAGAGATATATGGAACGTTAGGAATCATGTCCGCCCCCTGCTGCGGCATCAACTGCGGTGAAATATAGGGACTGTGTGCCGGACTCAGTGCTGGTTGCGAATGCGGTTGCTGATGCTCCGAAAGTGTGAAAGATTCTATCCCCAACGCGTTCTCGTACAAACCGGGATCGTTTTGCGGCGCAAGGAGGGGAGAAGGGTTGTTATCAAAGCCATCAAAAGATTCATGCTGCGACATATATGGCGAGGGGGCGGCGGAAGAAACCTCTGACACCTCCGACGGAGCCCTGCGATGGCCCTGGAATGCAGAATTACCCATGACCGCCTGCCAGTCTTGATGCGAGTTGCCAGACATGTAGGCGGCAGTAGCGGGGTCCAAGGAAGTATGCCGGGAATGTTGCGGGGTATAGAAGGTTCCAGGGGTGGAAGTCGGAGGTGACATAGGGCCAGGGGATGAGTGCTGGTGATAGTCTTGTGGCGAGACCGGAGACAACTGCGGTGACGACGAGCGATGAGTAGAGGGGATCTGGCTGATCAGGTCGGCAGGATTGACTCCGTGGTTAGCGAGTTGAGACTGCCC